AAAAACAATTCCATCTACATATAGCATTTTTCATTCATTCCTTTATTTTAATTTGGTATCTACAAAATGGCTATAAAAGGCATATCCAGATGGAATCTGGTAGATAAGCTGGAATCGAATTTCAAAGATCTAATTATGACCGAAATAAGATTTTCAAAAAATTTCCTTTTGTTTCAAAACATCAATTAATATTATCTTGATAGTTTTGAACGATGTTTTCTGTGGCTTCTGTGGGAAAATCATTCTTAGAGGTAAGTCATTATATTGCAAAAAACAGGATAATGAAAGAGTCGATTCGATATGAAGCCTATTACTCCGATATACTGAGATTTTTTTGAGGTCATGTAATATATGTAACAAAGGTAATTTTTCAGGTCAGTTTCGTTAATGCAAATAAATGTTTGTGCATCTTTGATGTAAATTAACAAAGGGCAATTGCATTATTATAACTAGAATTGCGTAAGTTTAACATTATTGCCATGCTATGAAAAATATATCCTATTATTGCAAGTGATCACATCATTACCCTTTTCTAGATCGATCACCAAAATTCGAACGTCATAGAGAAGCAATAACAAGTTACGAAAGTTCGCATACTATCTTTCCAATAAAGCAATAATAATTACTGCTAAATCGAGTAGTAACGCAGGTGGTGTTGACAGATGCGTCTTTATGAAAGTATTTTGAGCAATTTATAGAGGCAGCCGACCCAATTTGTAGCGATTTGTAGTTACAAGCGCGATAGTGGAAACTGCTGATGAAGCTCTAACACGAATACCGTTGATCTGTATCTTGAGAGCCATATACCAAGCTGCTTCTATGTTTATAACTTTAGACTAAGCTAAATCCCCTCGAAGCATTCTAATTTTGCGATATACACTTGCTTTAAGGTGGGTGCTTTAAGAAATTTCGCTCTGTTCCGTTGCAGATTGTGAAATAAGGCTTTCTTTTCTAAGAAAGAATCTTTCTTTTCAAAATTCTAGGATATTTTTGAGAAAAAGACTATCGTCTCTTTATTGCTACCTTTGACGAGAGTTGGGCAGTGAAGATAAATGAACGAGATTTCAATTAAACTTACCAACAGTTCTGATAAAAGATAGATGAAAAAGTGAAGTATGACGGTATGATAGCATAAAACCATGTTTATAGGCATAGATATAGTTTATAAACATTGAAATGCCTCACAAAAATATATATCACTCATACAGAATTGCGGGACTTGCTTATCTTATCTCCTTCAAAACTGTATCGGCCAAGATCGCTTTTCTCTATTATGCGGATGGAAAGAGGGCGGCATATGGGTGGAACAGACCGCAATAAGTCCAAGACTACCCGAATGATTATTGAGCACATAATTCAATTAATTCGGCTGACTATAGGTATGCTTAAAAACCTCTCGTAATGCAAGCGCTCTGATCTTTCAGCGTCGATGTCTTGGCTTACTTCCTTCTTGTGCTTGATGTCTTATTTGATAACAATGAAAGCTTTCCCAATTGTACACAATTTCGAAAGGGCAGCGAACTTGAATGCTGGCCACGTGACCCCGTAAAGCAATCAAATATATAAAAGAGCCTTGCATGTATTCTCTATTGCTTGGGCAAGACATCTTCAAGCCAGCACTTTTGGCTTCACCACTTTCATGGATTTTAAGAAATTTGACAGCAGAGTATGTCAAGATAAACTGTCTTGATTATACAGTAGATATAGCTTTACAATCGATAAAAGAAATTTACAGTAGATATTGTTGATATGATCTTTCCTTCTTTACTTCTTATACCGCCAAATTTGCAGATAAAATCGCTGCACTACTATTCTTAGTATTCATTAGAATCGATTGTAAGTTATCCCTGTCATATTTTCTTTAATCTTTGTCTGGTTAACTGATATTTTCTGCTGCATAACCGATAAAGAAAGGGAATGGGTGACAGCTCGTTGTTCGAATGGCGTCTTTGAGTATTTGTCGACTTGAAGACATGGTTTTGATTCACCTAACAGTGCCGTTTATCAGCAACAGGCTCAAACTTAAAGCTCCAATAGTAAAAGAAAGAACTTTTAAACTGGCATTAATTGAAAAGTTGTTATAGAAGTTATAGAAAATATTAGTTATAGAAGATATATACTAATAATCGTTTAAGACAACTATATTTGATAACTTTGTAGCTGTTTTGTCGAATGGTCACATGCTATGAATCAGACTAAACTGTCCACGTTTAACGGTTCTAGCAGCCAAACCCCAGTCCTCCTTATCTCCTGATATGTCACTGACACATTACAAAAGCAAAAATCATCATGTCTGAAAATTTGATAAAATTTATCACCATAAACATATGATTAAGACCTCTCTTTGTCGAAAAGAATTCCATCTATAGAAGCTGATTTTTGACAGTAAACCTTGATTATGACTAAGCCTCAAACAACGAAAGAAATTTCAAGGGGGTCTCTGACCCCCCTATATATCTATGGAGCTGGAAATTTGTGGCATTTTTTTAAAATTTCTCATACACATTTCTATGTATTATGAGCTTTAGAAATATCAGAAAAAATGCACATGTAGACAGGAAACATTAATTGTTAAGATATCTGACGTACGTGGATCGTGAAGATGACATAAATCTGTGTGATAGGAATCATGATTGATCTATGTGGATGTAATTTTAACAGATAACATCCAAGCAACATTTCACTGAGTTGTGGAAAATGTGCGTCGTGGGTGGTTGCAGATTTAAACGAAAAATAGATCTGTTACTAATTGGACGTCACCTTTATGGCCTGAACCAACATTGAAATGTAACAATTGTTAAAAAAGTATCCAAAATGTACTTGGTCTATGTAATTCCTACCCGCTAGCTTCATCCACTGTACTCGCTTGGTACTAATGAAAAGACCTTAATGAGAAACAAGGAGCTTAAAACTGTGCTACTTAGTGTAAGCTGCTTTTGGAAATTAATGGCAAAGATTTGAGGTCCATGTAGAACAAAGTGTTCCTAAGAATGAACCAGAACCACCTCGCAAAGGCTCGCTGAACTCCTTTTTTTTATCATCATAAAAATACAATTTAAAAACTAACAATTAACACAAAATAAAGTGACAAAATTTTTGTGTGCTGAATTAGAGGTAACAAACATGCGTTATCGTGTCACCTCTAACCCAACACAGTAAGTTCTTAATTTATACAAAATTAGAACTACACGGATGCAAATAACAACATAGATAGAGATTCAAGGGCAAAACAACTTTGATTTGTCGTACGACGAAATTCATTTAGTGTTAACTAAAAACCTTACAGTAGCATCTAGAATCATTCTATTAGCTATTTTATTGAATTTTGGACTGCCGAAAAATTGCAGAAATGATCGTCAGGCAATTGCGTCACATTACTATTGAGTATATATGATACTTCACCAAGCAGGTAATTTTTATGAACTAAATGGAGTTGGCAGTGCAGGAGAAAATGAGTTGTGGATTCGACTCCTTCCTTACAATTGCAAATGGGACTCGCGCATGCAAAATTATGGTGGAACATATGCTCATTCAGATCGCTAAAATGAACTCGAAGCCTCGTTATGAGTGTTGAGTGATGCCTGTTAGTTATTTCATGCAGAGACTTTTTTGCTGGCTGAATTATTGATAATAAAACTGTTTTGAACTGAGATATTGTCGAACAAGTTCTTATTTGGTGATCGAGTTTGTTTCATATGTTCACACAATAGGAAAAGAAACTCTTCGAATACCTTTGTGAGGATGAATTTTCATATCTAAAATCATTAGTATCAAAATCAAATAATATCAAAATCATATCAATCGCTGAACTCCTTTGGAAATAATTTTCTGACGCTAAGCTTGTACTATTCCCTATTCATTCTGACACATATTAAATTTTCTGCATTTTCAAAGAAGGTTAACAAATGCTTCTATTTTCTTAAAGGGTTGACGTGCTGGAACGATGAAAAGTTATACAATTTTTCAGCTTTCATTTGTCCTCAGCCTAAGACATCATAACAGCGGGTATTATGCGCTAACAGAGCATGTTCTTGCAAATTACAATTCAGAGCATTTAATCGTTCTCTAAATTTTCAATTGAAATAATGAAAAATTATAATAATAATAATTAAAATAAAAATAATAATAATTAAAATAAAAATAATAATAATAAAAATAATAATAATAATAATAATAATAATAATAATCAGTACCATTTTTACCGTTAGTTTGAAAACAGTATTATGAACACTAATAAACACTAACTTGAAGCAATTTAAGAGACTGCATTATGGGAGGTGTTGACTGCAAGCGTTACAGGCGCATTGATTTTCGAATTACCAATCTTTTATAAGAGCTTTGAACTGACTGGCATTTTTGGACGATTTTATTTCATTTGCAAGAGAATTCAAAATCTTAAAGGAAATCTGACTCTGGAGTAGGTGGGTAGAATTTCGGATTCCTGATCATGCATATTGAGAATTATATCAAACTATACAGTAACCAGTCAAAAGCTGCAGCACAAAGCTTCTTTACATTAACAATTATTCCTTAACAAAGTACGAGTGTAAAATACGTTTGTACCGTATATGTTAATGCGTGACTGAACTTGTGGACCTCTAAGAGTGTATGCGAACTTTGTAAGAATTATTCTTTGATCTGATACCTACGTTAACGATTATCTTTTTTTCTTGCTCAGACGAGATCAACCTCAAATTCGGTGAGTCAAGTGTAAAAGAGTACACTTGAGCAGAGTTAAGCCGTAGGAAATGGTCATGCCAGGCTTCTCAAGAGTACAATCCTTCATAAACCGGGTTTAGTATCTATTTGATAGAAGAGTGTTCTACATCAAGACCTACTCGTCGCTTTTCATTCACAGGATCTTTCTTCCCTAGAATATCTGTTTGATCAATTACGAGATTAATGATTTCTAAATAGAAATAACTTGCACCAACGTACATGATAGTAGCAGGATTTCAAAACATTAGCTGCTTAAAAAGAATTCTTCTAAACAGACTCACCCATAATCCTGATTATTCGATCATCTATGGTAGTCACGAGGCAAACTCCGAGACGTTTCAAGCCAAACCCGTGATGTTTATCCTCGATTTCTGAAAAAGAATTTGTCGATTTTAACTAAAACTTATTAATGAATTGTTTTAGACGTAACTAAGTTGGGGATAGCGACCAAAGATTGCAAACGGCTTCAAATGATATGCGTTACTTCACATTATTATTTTAGCTCTTCTTTAAAAAAGTGCAATTATTGCCTGTACAAAATATTGTTCATTTAGTTGATAAACATACATCTGTTTATCTTATTCCTTGAAGTTAACATTTCTTCCGGGCTTTATTTCATTTCCTACAGCTTCAGGTATGCCTTTTCCTTCTAAACACTCTCAGTTACCGGCAAACAAATGAGTTACTAATCAAAACCGGTGGCAGCGTTTTGGGGAATGGCTCTACTGTCCTATAGTTTTTGAATTTCTTTGGAATTCGGGTGAAGAGTTTCAAAACACTAGGCAAGCACCCGCACCTAATGCTTCCATACTCTAATGATGAAAACATTTGTCAGAAAATGACTTTTGTCTCTCTGTTAATGTTTCCATAGGCAAGCAGCAATGGTTAGGTAATCTTTACAGTCATGTGCTCGCGTTTCTGATTGGCTTATTTTGATCCACAACTGGCTATATATATTTTCTAGCTGTGAGATTTTGATCTGTGTTAAGACGTTTTATACTCTGCAGAGTGTCAGACAAGAATGTTTAAAAATGTTACCTTTTTTTGAAGCAACTTTTAAATTCTGTACTACCAAAATTTTTTTTGAAAATTCAATCGGCAGGCCGCCCGTGGTTATAATTGAAAATCACTCTAGGTTCTTTGCAATGCTATATCAAACCTGCCAAAGTTTCGCAGAGCCATTTCGAAGGAGGCATGACGTAACAGCAAAAACTGGAGTCTCTCTAGACAAAATGAAGCAACAAAAAGAACCAGGGGGTAATAACCCTCGCCGCAATATTCTGAAGATGATGGTACAGTATGACCATTTGAAACAAAATGTTTGGTTAGATTATGTAGAAATCCTAGAAAATCTATATTCCTTAGGATTGTTTTTTAGACTCGCGGGGATTTTGGTCGCATAACCAATACAAGGATTGAAAACTGAGAAAAAGAAAACACAGGATTGTCCTCTATAGGTTTTGATAAAAGAGTGTTTTTGGGTCACGCGTAGCCATGTCTCTTCACCGGGGATACTACTAATGGAAAATTATATAATAATGCGTTTAGAAAAAAGTAGATCAAAAGCCGTACAATGTAAGAATTCATTATAAAGCCGTGCGCAAGAACACAGGCGAGCTGGTTCGGTTTCATTTACTTATCCTGAATGAACAGAGAATGAGAAGGATTTAATCAGCAAGGCCCTTTAGCAAATAAAAGTAGCGCAGAAACTTGATAAAATTGCGCCGAAGATGAAAAAGTTTCCCTGTTTCCGCTGCGGAGAAAACTTCAAATATAATTTTAAATTCCTTATGAAACTTTTCATTGTTACATAAGGCTTGGTGGTCTTATTAATTTTTGGGCAAATCTGCTCATATAATAAATTATACCATATTTATAAACAAGCCTATAGAGGTCCCTAAATCTATATTATTGATATTAGTAGTGCTTTTTAGGCTGTAATCCTTCGCTGCTTTGCTTATTTTCCTGGCATAAAGACCCTTGAAGGATGATTTCAATATCGTGGCAAGATAAAAGCACTTTCATGGCAAAAATAATGTTCACAGGCACATGGTAGGCCACTGGCGGTCACTTCAATAATTCCGCTACATTATGAAATCTATCTTCCTTCTTTTAACTCTAAAGATTTATTTTAAGGGACTTCAGTAGTATGTAATAGACGGCTCTCTTTGCGAAGCCGCAGAACGTATTCTCTTTTCCTTGCGTATGCGAATTAAATCTTGGATTCATTATAAATTCTTAAAAAGCAATTTATTATTGTCTATTTGATACTTAAACTAAAATGTGCTTAAGACGGTTTTAATGTGGTTTGTGTATGGCTTTATCAATCGATGAAATTACGTTCTCAGTGATGCTCATTCTACTTATAGCGGCATTAGGCACGGAAGCTTTTCCTTCTAAGGCAACGATTAGAAGTAACCAAAAACACCCGCTTGGCGTAACATAAACCTTTTTGGTAAAAGGCCTCCTGATGCAGTGTCTAGTTAGTGCTCGTGAGAGGCTACAAGTAGGTTGTTGGAGGATAGCATGTACTTTCAAATTGTCCTTCTGACACTATTATTATCTGGAGTTGCCTCCACACCCTGCGTGTTTGCTTATAAACAATTGGAGCAACAGCCGAAAAACTTGTAATTTAGATTCTATGATTATGTAACTAAGATAATTTGGAGGGAGGTTAAGATTTCCGTTGCATATCGCCAAAGAATCATGTCAAGGTAGTTCCACCACAGCTCTACATTTATATATAGAAGTCTAGTTTATGTCTGCTTACACAAATTGGCTCTTGAAAGTTTTTTGATTGACGAGGTTGTCCTAAAATGAGCAACATTGTCACTGAGGCTGTTCCAGGAGTTGGGAAAAGGCAAAAAGTAGAACAGGAACATAGTAAAAATTCCTAGTTGGAAGTATCAAATTTGCCATAATAACAACAAGAGGATCCATGACCCCGATTGATCGGCAAAGAGGTGCGATGGTTCTGATTAGTCTGACCGGAAATATGCCATTATCAAAGAAAAGTACGAACTTTTGGAAAGGAAATGCAGAAGCAGGGATGAAGGGGTCATGGGTGCACCAAGCGAAGTATCTTTTTTGGGATATGGTGCCCCTTCCACCCTGTTCCTCCCCAACTTGGAAATCATTCAGAGCATTGTTTATTTTCAAGGGAATATTTCGATATTGTCTCTTTGCAAGGAGGCAACAAATTCAAATGCTCCTGTCAAGAGGCTATCTTTAATGTACCCCTTTGTACTCTACTCGCCTCCTCTTGAAGTACAACGGCCTTGAAATTAACCGTCTATAGCATTTCCCATTTTGAGTAATTTGACAGTCTTTTTATTGATACGTTTAGCACAATGTAGCAAAAAATTAATATTCCAGCCTACTGATAAGTTAATAGAACTATAAATTCACAACTTTTCGTTTCCGAAATTTCTATTCTTTTGGCAAATGAAACAGAGTTCACAGCGTAAATTTAATTACAAAGCTTCATGGCAAAATAACGCTATGGAGAGAAATCCTAAACTCGAATACTCTGTCCGTATTGAGACAGAACGATTTGCTATAAAAAGCTCAATAACATGTCTGCTCTACGGCTTTCAACTGAAGAAAGAGTTGCATTCTTCAAAAACACTTACGTAATCACCGTCACGGTCCCTGAATGTCGATAACAGTGGAACAAATCAAAGTCTATTTTTAACTTAGAAGCAAATCTGCTATTAAGGGAGGGGAACTTTTGCAGCCGTACATTGGACTTAAGAGATTGCAATAGAGAACTTGTTGGAAAGAATGAAGCCCAAATTGCTTGTTGTCAAGGATTATATAATGAAATCCATACGAATCGCACTTAGATCTTGGGCCATGTTTCAAAATGCTTCACAAGCAGCTTGGACATTTTAGAATCTTTTACTAGTGATATTAAAAAATGTTTTGGTTAGATAAATTAGCGCAGGCTATGAAGTTACATTTAATAAGCCACAGAATCCAAAGTGTAATGAAGTCGCTTAATCTACGTAAAGATTAATCATGTAATACGTGGATGCAGTCAACGGAAATCCATTTTGGTTAATGAATGCTTTGATTTGGAATAAGTTCTCTTTTGTCCTGGCATTTACTTTTGGAACCTTAAAAATTCTTCAGATCTGTCCACTGAAGGACAAATTTACAAAAGACAATTGCCTGATTTCTGAATATACAATTTTACGTAACTGTTGTGACCTGTGGATTGTAAGTTCATAATCTTGTATGTTGTTTTGTTAAAAAAAGTAAAGAGGACAGTACGGCAATGAAGACTGTCAATTTCGTCAAATTGTTTAAGAAAATGCTTAGAATTCCTCTACTCCATTCATTTGCAAAAAAATTTGCAACGTACCCAATTTATGATGCGCTGGTCTTGTTAATAGTTAAGGTCTTTGTAAATATTATTCCAAATGTAGCAGCGCTGTAGCATATCTGAATCATCAGTCTTCGCGTTAAAAAATCGTGAGCATTTTGGAAAAATAGTTGTCTAATGCATATTTGGAGCTAGATCATATAAGCTATTTTAGCTGCCATGGCCTAACAGAAATTCATACATTGTTTGGTTTTAATATCATAACCTCTTTATTGGTTAAATGGGTCAAATCATGAATCATAGAGAATAATCAAGATAATCATAAATGGAGGTCTCATTAGTTAATTTAGAAGCAATATTTAAGTGAAATTGGATTTGACAGTGTGAATACGACAACAAAAATGATAAAGGTATATTGGTAGAATGTTTGAAAGATTCAAACAACAGTGAAAATCAATAGCAGAGTATAAAGAGAAATGTTCATGCAAAAGGTTTTTGCTTGCTATAACTTTCTTTAATTTTAAAGTGCGATTAATTCTGCAGAAGAAGGAGAAGAGCAGAATTTTAGGGTGTAATTAGGGAGTAGTTCCCTTTCTTGATGACCTTACAAAAAGGGAAAAATTTGAATTATAAACAAATTTTAGACTATCCATATTACATATTACCCACTTTTTGTTGGTTTTGTATCCAAGTTGGTTACATGGCTTTTCTGATTTAGCAAAGTTGTTACAGAAGACAAAAATCTAAACTCAAGTTTATTCAGCGCTCATTCTACCAAATGTTGAAACGATGATTCAGATAACTACAAATTGCCTAAGCTAAAAAATTCCAGAATAAAAGAGACCTCCATATCCACTTAATTAAAAATAAGCAAAACAATACAATATCAGCAATAAAAATCTAAAGAAAGTCTACCAAACGCAACACATATTGCTAATGTGGAAATTGTAAAGACCTAACTATTCAAGTCATCGATTTGATGTATAGATTATAAAGTTACAATTTGAAAAATGGCGTAGCGTTACATTCAGTGCAGAGTAATAATTTGGCTCTCTTTGTCCTGCATGCCACAAAAATATCATTATATGAAATGAAAACATAAGATTTCCATATAAATCAACAAATAATACTAAAATATATAAATGCTAATGCTAAACAATAACAATAAAGACTCATCATACTGAATTATAAAAATCCAAAGAAAATTGCACTGTAAATGGGTACCTTTAATGAATATTGCCTTAAAGCACTATAGTTGTGTGCACAAATTTAAGACCACGTGTCACGTCTTCCCATTTTTCTAGGTTAACATCAAAATAACATTTCTTGTTTAAAAAGCCATTCTAATGCACTTTACTGGAATTTTAAAGTTAGATGTGTATCAAAGATATCTTTAAAGTATATACATATAATGATTATATAAAATGCAGTATGAATATTTCAATATATATATATAGTGTTTCTGAAATAATTGCGTTTCTTTTTCATTTTATTCCTGGTCTTAAACTTTTGCAGACGACTGTATGTTGTCTAATGAAAACTGCCTTTATGTAACAGAGGATTCTTATAATGCACGAGAAAAGGACCACGAAGAATCTTTCGCACGATAAGGAAAATAAAGGCAAGATTTGGTCAGGTTTATGTGAAGATTACTCTATCAAAAGAAACTATGCAGTGTTTCTTTAAGGCACGTGCAGCTCTTCTTTTTCATCCTCTTGGAATTTTTTCAACTTTCTATTGTGTTTCTATTGCAAATCTGCTTTAGACACAATTTGTTTTAGTAAGAGTTCTAACGAGGTCAAGACAGCTGCGATGGCGCTGACTACGTTATGTGGGCTGGGCGGTTTTTAGTTAGTTTTTGTATTATGTTGAAAGACCACAGGAATAAGCCAAGTTATGAAAAGCAGTAAGAAAAACATAATAAAAACAATCATGGAAGAAAAATTAATTCAAACTGATAGCAAAGAATACATGAACAATTTCGGGTCCCTTTAGCGATTACGGCCGTGTTCACCACAATCTGACAAATTGCCTTACTGCAAACCTAAGATAAGCAACTGTTTTAAAACATAGTTTCTGTCGGCAGGTTTCTCCTTATCTGCGTTTGTGTAGTACACACTGAGGGAGTTTTGTTTCGGCATCCCCAGTAAATTTCCTCTGGAAAAACCAATGGCGTCTCACGGTTTAACTCGCGGGGAAATAATTGCAGGCCGAATATCCAATTAAACGCTAATGTAATGATTTGAAGAATCTAGTGCAAAGCATATGAAGTTCCATCTGTTTTGTTATGTATAAATGACTGAGCAAAGAAAGTTACTCAAGGAAATCATTGCTACTTGAAAGCGTGTACCACAATGAGAGCTGTAGACTGCAAGCTCAACTCTCCGTTTCAATTTCTATTCACGTTTGACACAAACGTTTTAACGAGGGCTTAGATGCTACAGGATCGCAACAATTCGCGGACAAGGTAAAAATATGTTTTTCTTCAACTTGCAAAATAAAAGGGAAGTTTAAGTTTAAGAGAAACAGTGCATTATCTCGGTCTATGGCTGTGAAATTGTTTAACTGTCATAGCAATTGCAAATACACTGTTCGATTAGTGTTAACTTATCTGAAAAGGACACAACAAGAATTATCTTTTCTGTTTCACAGCAGAAATGAGATCCATGTTTGAATTGTTTTAAGGGTTTTTCTATCGATCTGTACGCGAGAATTTAGCGGCTGTTGAATAACACAGTCAGCAAAGATTGGTTCTTTTGCTTGAACCTGCATGCTACAGATAAACTAGGGACAAAAGTTGGTCATTCATTGAAGCTTTTATGGGGATCGGTGTTCAATTCTCACATCACCGCCAACGATGATGATTTGATTTAATCATACTTTGCCATTATTCGAATATGTTGTTAGTTAGTATCGAAATTGGCAGCAAAACAAGCTTCGCCACCAACCTCTAGATCAATGCTAGAGAAGAAGTTAGTTACGAAAAATAAAGTCAGTACTGTAGTTTGTTAAAGTTACAGGACTGTCATGCTTTATGGTGTTGTTATTGAATGCATATGCGCTAAGGAAGAATGGGTAGAAATGATGGTTTCAGCATTCAATCTTTCTGAGTTTCTCCTCGGGAACCTTGTAATATCTCATTACTTTTGTCAGATACATTCGTCTGTCTTCAGCAAGCTGCTATCTTTCACGTCAAAAAATGAATAACCCGGCTTTATGGTTCTCTTTCAATGGTGCAAGCAAATCTCAACTGTTGACACGTTGTTCAAGAGACAAATCTTCATGGACCGTATTTGTTAGTTTAGAATAATTCTGCTGCCAACCTTAGAGTCATGACTAAATATTGGCGTTTCTGTGTTCAAGTTTAACTTCAAGCGACGCGTGAATACGGAAATATTTTTTCAGTAAAAAAGCGTCATGGTGTGACGTAACAAGAAGCCAGGGATTTAACAATTCGCAATATAGAAACCCTATTAGAATGAAATACGAGCTGTTCTGAACTATCACATGATCTTATGTAGTTGTAGATGCTGAAGAAGCCTATATATTATTGCTCCACAACTTACAATGGGTGATTTTTAAGCAAAATATTTGATTTTTTAGTATAGGGCTCACACTGTGTTGTATTATCAAATTTTCTTGTTTTGGCTCTCTAATAACACTTAGAGAGCAGATTCATTAAGCAAGCTGGTCCAGCTTAGTACATTGGTCTCACGGACAGGGCAGCAAAAACAGCATCTGCAGCGACAGGCCTGCCAACTTAGTGGTATGTTGGGTTCAAGGGCACTATTTTGTGACTTATCGAGTATTTCAGTTTCTAAATGGAAATCTCAAACTTGGATGGAGATAACAAACTTCAAACTCAGAATGTTGTATCCCATGTTTTCTGTCTTTAGTTACATAATCCTTGGCTCAGTTTATTGTTCACAATATTCTGTCCACGTTGATCGCCTGCTTCTAACTAATCACATGTATGCAGCAACTACAGTAATTTCAAAAGTGGCCCTGAAACATTTTCATCTCATTTAGACAAAATATGAAGCTTTCTAAAAGTCAATTGCTTTCTAGATTGTCTTTTGATTCACACTGACAACATTATGGCATGTAATTACACTGCAAGTCTTAAAGTCACTTGAACAACTTTGTTCAGACCTGTTAATGGGTGCATTGCAATTTTCCTCAATTGTGCATAAGAAACTCGACAGGCAAACAAACAGGCAAAGCTTCTATAGACGAACAGGCTTTGAAATTTTGGCTTAATGGCTCCAGTGAAGAGTTTTCCAGAAACTGTAGTGCTCTTTGGATACTTTTATAAAAAAGGTTATATCCAACATATGGGAGTCAAAAGGGTAGGTTGTGGAGTGTGCTCTCAACCACAATTACTTCTGATATTACGGGAGTTAAGTCTTAAATACAGTTATAGATATGTAGCCCACTCTCTTAGTTTATTCCATTTCTTCTCTCAATTCCAAGATATTCACCAAAAATTCCTCTGATACCATTATGGACAAATCTAGGAAGATCCTTAACATATATTTACAAACCTTTGCCAATATAGGGCCTTTTTAACATACTAACTGGAGAGCAATCGCCCCTGCAGCCCTCGTGACTTTCATTGTTTTAAACAATAGGCTACTGTCCTTCTTTTTTTATCAACAAAGGTTCCCCCCCCCCCACAGCTAATTTCTCCTGGAAAAGGCTATGTACCAATACATGTCATTGTCAACTGTGAGCTATAACTATTTACTCACTGGTATGACACTACTGTTGTCAATTCTATGACAAAAGCTGATACTAATACACTTCTTACCCAAGTACCAAAGTCTCATACAGTCAGTCATAAAGTAGAGAGAAAATGAGCTGAGGACATTCCATCCTTCCACTTTCCCTCTCCTTCTACTGGGCCCCCGCCACCCATAGCATTATAATGAATTCAGTAGTTGATACAGGCATTTGCAAATTGATTATATGGATATATGATACAGCATTGGCCAAATAAGAGATGAAAGTTAGTCAACGCCTCTTTGACTCGAAATTTCCGTGGCTCCAATTCTAGCAACTAATTTATCTTTTTCATATTGGTTTCGCTTTCTTAATAAAAAACCTTAGAGACTTTGATTTTCCACGAAAAGTAATTTTTTGTCAAATATTCTCACAACCTTTCACACTACATGCCCTTTGCACATACCAAGCAAATCCTGGGTACCAGAGACCCAGTAAAAGATTGGGTCGAGCATAAGATTTCTAAACTTTTGGTTAATGTTATCATATTGCTTTATCTTTTGTTGAATTTAGAAGTACTTGGTTGCAAATGGGTTTTTTATTACGAAACTCAAGGTATATTGGTTAAGCAAAATATTTTCCTAGCTCAAGAGATATGATGGGGTAACATTCTAATGTGATTGTTGCATGGTTTGAGTTTGGTTTATCCAGCCACTGTTTAGGCTGGCTCAGTAGCCTTTACCGACATAAAAACACGAGCCACCCACCTTCAGTAGACTGCACAGTTTGATGGCCTATAGAGATAGGCTAATTATATTATAGGCCTACCACGGGTTACCAACATAATACCATCTTACTACAACGCCTTATAGATATGAAGTATGAAAAAATTATTTAAACAGATTTGATGCGAAGATTGTGTAATTGATTTATCAGTTGAATATGCACATTGACTATTGATTAGGACGATTGGTCTTTTCAGAATTTCGGTGACAAAACACAAACGCCACCCCTACGTCCAAAAGAAATGTGGTTAGAGAAAGCTGTTAAGCGTAACTGTGTTCTGATAAGAATTGTTCAACCTTTTTGTTTGACAACCAGTTGACCAATCTTTCATCTGTAACTGGGATATCGTTAGAATGTTGATGTAGGTATTGTGCCATTTTTTACTGGGCTTCTTAAAAGTGTTTTTTGCTCCAGCCTTACATGTGATCTAATTTCTAAGTTCGGAATGATTTAACACTACACGGCAAATTAAACATAACAATTAGTTTTTTTCAAGTCCTAGCAATTCAAAGTAATTCCTTACACAAATCGGTAACAAAATAAAACAATATATTGAATTACACAGTAGTAAATCCAATGGGTCTTGATATAAATTCAAACGCAACAATTTACACATTTTACCAACCAGCAGCATTTTTGTGGGTAAAGTAGCAAAGAAAGATTAAGCAAGAGAAGTTAAGTAAAGCAAGAAAGATTCTTCCAGCCTAGCATTCTAAATTCATTTTTTGCCCTGACGTTCTTTGACAAACCGGTTGGAGAAGTTGTGATTCCAAAAAGATATCAGCTTTGAACATCGGAAAGGACATTGAAGTGAAGCTTCCCAACTGGAAATACCTAACTGGAAATTCCAGGCGTTTTGCGATCAATAATATGCTCAGAAGGAGCTTATCTTGGTCATTCTACACACAAACAGGGCACTTATTCATGGCGAAGAAAGCATAAATGATGTATTTATGTAAAATGAATTAACTTCTCAATTAAAGAGATCCAAACCAAATGGCTTTTAAGACGATTGGGCGGGTTGCGAGATCATTCCATGGGTTCATCAGTTTTGTGTCAGGGACAGTCATTTGCATTTGTCAAGCTAGTATGTTTGTTCATTATCGTGCCAAATAAGATTAATAGCACAAACAGTAGAAGTTGGGTTGAAATAGCCAAATATTGCTCATAATGCGTCTAGACCACCATATAAATCTTTGGTTAAATCAAAAAGTTATCATGATATGAGCTGTCATTTATGAAAGGAGTTATTGTAATGTGCGGAGAGCAACAGAACTCAAATGCATCAGAATTTGTCAAGGATTTTATCACAATAGTAAAAGGATCAAAAATTTTAAAGTGGCTGTGAAGAAAGCAAACATTCTGAAATATGCTAAAGCCTTTCGTCTGACAATCTTCAGAGTATAAAACACCAGAAAATGCATTGAAAACTCTAAACTAGGAAATATATATACCCGGTTGTGGATCGAAATAGGCCAATCAGAAACTCGAGCTTGCACTGTAAAGGTTGCCTACGCAGTGCCGCATGTCTATTAAAAATACTACCAGTGGATTCCCAGGGTAAAACCGAACTCCTTCTGTCTACCCAATTGTAAATTTTCTTTGTATGTAGATAGAGCCTCAGTCTTGCCCATCAAAAACAAGAACTAACAACGACATTTTTAGGATTAGTGGTAGAGCCCGGTCGGATGCTGTTCTCTTTGGAAGAGAGTTTGGTTTCTAATGCTGGAAAAAACCGGCTGCATTTTTCTATCTCCCAATCTTTTGTCTGTGCGTTCTGCGTAGCCAAAATCCCTCTGTCAAGTAAACTCATAAATAACGGAGCTTTTGTGGGTGATAAGAACTTTTGAATGGATTTCAATCCACAACCGGGTGTATATATTTCCTAGCTTAAAGTTTTCGATTTGAATTCTGTCGTTTCATGCTCTGAAGAGTGTCGGACGAAAATTTTTAGTATATTCCAAAATGTTTTCATTTTTCAAAGTCATATTTAACTTTTCTACCACAAAAAAGTGTTTATGAAGCATATTGTAGAAGCATATTAAACGTGCCTGCTTTTAAAGCAATATTTCGACAAAATATTAACATCGTACTTTACAATATCATCACAAGATTGCTAAATACAGTCAATTTTTAGACAGAAAGACTCGGAGAAAGAGTCTGGGTCCGAATATCTCTATTGACGTCGATTTTCAGATCATGTAAGCCGAGTTGTTTTTATCAAGCAACAACAACCCTATTGGTGTTTAAAGCATCCTCCATTCGACTAGACAGACAACAGTTGACTTGACTTCATCTTTGAGATCATTAGCAGCTTTTGGCCAATTGTCTAAAAACAATAGGCCTTGTCTAGTCTGTTGAAAGTAGGAGAAGACAGAAAAACGTACTCCATTGTACAAACTGTTTGTCTTTTCAAAAACGATTTAGCAATATTGCAGATATTTTTAAAATGATATTACTGCGAGAAATTTGCATCAATTTTTCATGGTCTTGCTGGTTGTACGAAGGGTTCTAGAAAATTCAGGCAGATCAGAAATAGAAACTATCTGATACCTTGTATTTAAGAATTCATAAAGCGGTTTTGATGCCACGCAAACTCACGTGAAGCCTCAATCGAAAGATCTGGGAGTTGACTTTCATGTATCTACTGGCAGCAAGTCAAACAGTTTACTAGAACTAGTATCCTTACCACTGGTTAAATAATTAATTGACAAAATTGAAAGGAAATATGATTGTAAATTCTAACAATTGCATCTTATGAACCTTGAAATATCATCTTTAAAGGCAAGGCGCCATGTGATAATTCTATGTGATCGGGGGCTCTAGATTATAACGGATATCACTCGACTTCAAAGTTTCAATACATGAAAAATCCCATTACAAAGTTTTTGGGTTCTTAGACTATGATCAAATTTAGTATAAGAAATGTTTTTCAAATTGAATAACCAATCGCAGTAAGAAGACATTGAACTAACAAGCGATTAAACTTTTTTCTAATCTGTTTATCATTATTTGTGAAGTTATTAATTTTCCTTAAAAGGTCTTATCCTATCCAGTCCTGGAACAGGCAAAGGCGACCTATGGAGTTATTATTTTCTAGTTATTACATGAGATTTTCCGATACATACAGCCAATTGTTTGCTGTGTTAGTTATTCAAATCAGTTCAGAGTAAAATGCTAAATTTGATTAAAACAAGGGCGACCCAATGTAATCTTATACCGAATGCAGTCTAGGTCATTCTCATTCAGTGGCCGAAAATTTCCCAACTCTTTAAAGATTTTCAATGCTCCAGTCGCTCTGCTGTCGACTTGCTGATCTTTTATTTTGCTCCTTATGTTAGAGCAATGAATGAATCAGCGCCAAATTAGATAGGTTGGAGACCCGCACGATTTTGTGTCAATAGTAAGTGAATAAATGAATTATCTAATGAATTGTGAAGAAAAGCAATAATAAGTGCGACATTGCAATGATATAAAGAACTCGCATGAAAATTGAGCCATCGATCATATACGATGCATCGATCCTGCCATTCGATAAAAGCGATGTTTGTTTTTTATAATTCTAAAACCAATTGGCCTTAGCACCAACTGCCGATCGGTTTTGACTGTATGATATGTATACGTATATGTTTAATGTATAATTCACGGATATATGCAAGGATATCCTGCAGCTGCATTCGTTGCGCATATTTTAAATGGCCATACTTTTGAACAACGTATAAAATCAACCTAATTATTGCTTGAATTGCACTTTGCCTTAAAAATGGCTTCAAACGAGCAGGCATTGAGGGGATGGAGTTTGCTTGATCAGACTCTTTCGTCACCGCCTAGCTGGACTGGCCAGCCACATGGCTACTCCCATCTCCCTTTATTGTGCTCAACTACCGGATGCAAACAATAATGGTTTAGAAATAGTACTTTTGTTTGACATTCACAATGCTTATTCAATTAAAGAGTGGGTAAACTAAAACAAACAAGCTCATTTGGATGATTTATTCAAAACTAAGGTCGAGGAAAGCGTCTTGTCACGGTAAACATTCTGCAAAACGAATAATGTCGCCTCTAAGGAATTTTTATTTATTATTATGGTAAAGTTTCCCATGTTATAAAATGGGGCTAATATCAGCTGCAGTCAATGTTGGTTGCTGCGAACATTGAGACAAAAATTTATGTTGGTTGCTGAGAAAACAAAAAATATGTTCTCTTCAAACACATCGAAGTCAAATTAAAGTTTGAATTTAAACCAGGTCTGTCCAAGAATGTTTGAGCAATATCGTTTAGATCACCATCTTGGAGAACAAGGCGCCGCTTTCATTGCTGCTAATTTTTAGGAAAGCCCCATTCCCTCCATTTTAAGAAACATTCCACGCGTCATTAGCAGACAGAAATGTATTGACAAAGTGATTATGATATACATTCATTGTCTTGTTATCATTGACAGGTTTCAATTATGTTAAACTGCCCCTAAAATCTTCTATTCTTCTCTAGTATATTGCCTACATTAAGTTAATGGGCATAAAGTCAACCACAAAATTTTTGATTATGTTTTTATGATAAATGGCGGCGTATATCGGACGTACTCGATTATTCGAATTTGAAAAATCAAAACAGACATAGTCTGGTATTGAGAATCACTCAGTCAAAGTAAAGAGGGAATAAAGACGGAAGTTTTGCGTCTGTGGAGGTAAGCTGAAGCTTGAAAATGTAATAAATGTTGGAAGCATGTCAAATCTTACCTTCAATTATTGTTAACTCTTATTTAACTTCATTTCTTGCAAAGGCTAAATTTGCTTTGCTTTTACATCTTCAATAACAATATATTATGGACATACCAAAGGCTTCTGCAGTAGCATCCTTTCCTATAGATGCTGATTCGCCGAGAATTCCCACCCCTATCGTTACAGTTTCGCACTGACAACCCCACTTCAAATTATTTCAAACTTGGCTTAAAGATAATCGAAATTTCTCCCATATTGCTCCTCGAACAACCAATAAGTATGGATCCGATAAGTTAAAAACTCTCGGCTCAAATCGTGCTCACCCACACCCAAAGTAATATTCAAGTGTTAAACGCAGCTTGCATAGGCAAAAATGTATTCGCAGCTTGAATCTCAGACTCTAATTAATCGCAGCTACACTTATGATCCAAAGCCAAACATGTCGTCAAACGTGGCCCTTTTTAAGGAAAGTACATGCTTTGTTGTGTTCAAGCAAATACCCCAGCTGGGCTGACGTCCATCCAGGACGTGATTAACCACTGAATTCACCCACGCAAACGCAACTCTATTACCTCAGTGAAAGCGTGTTTTCATACGAGGAAAAGCCAATATGTTTTCGTAGGGGCGGACGGAGCGGCGAATCACTCTAAATGGGTACTTATACATGACTGCTCATCACAACACAACTCGAATTGATCAGTCTTTAGTACTATCATATTCTAGCGTGTATGCCTTTATGAATTCAGTTTTTGAGATTTATCAGATGCGTTGATAGACTCAAGATTCATACGCAGAAGGCGTTGATGATTGTACAAACATTCCTTTAAATACAGGGACAACGACTCTGGGATTAGGAGCGGAGACTTTGCTTCGATTTTATTGCTCCAAGAGGCCAAAATATGGAATTTCTTTGACCCTAACAGAAAAACAGCTCAAAGTATCAAAAATTGAAAAATTTCTATCAAAACGTGGTTTTTGCAAATAAATATCAATCTCATTCTGCTGCATTGACATTCTTATGCTTAGTGTTATTCTTTAGTAATTAGTGTAATCGCTATTATCAGAATCTAAGTAAAAATTATGTATGTAATAGTACATTTAACGGTAAAATAACCAGAGGCCATCATTTCCATTTTAGCTGATGTTAGAAAATGGATTAATAAAGAAAGGATGTGTGAGAGAAATTTTCTGTTTGGCAAAGATCTGACAAGTGATTTTAGTAATTTATTGTCTTACGGAAAAAATTATCTCACTAACAAAAGAACAGATAATATAAAGATTCAAACAACAAAAAGAGAAAAGTTAATTTAAACAATATTAGTGGCACACGGCCAAAGCTCCCAAATCCCTTGCGAAAGTATTGATAACGAGGTTACGAGGAAGCTTTGAGAACGAGTTTGCGAAAACCTATTTAGCGGCACTGGCAAGGTGTTTGGATAGATAACGTTCTGGGTTTAAATTGGCCATATTCTGTGCTGGCAGATAAATTTTTTGATAAGTTAAGGAAGCGACCAAACAAATATGAAGGACCTTAACCAAATGTTCAAATGAAAATATAAGATAGGTGGAATAAACAATGATGGTGGAGAATCGGAAAAGAAGATCTTAAAAAATGAATTATCTGGGAGAAAGATTGAGAAATTGAATGACCGGGCTGTTAAGAAATTTTTCAGAAAAACATGTCGGGATGAAAAAATCGTATTGTATGTTGTAGCCACATAAATATGTTAGTCAAAACATGGAGTAATAAGGAAGAGGTAGACTTGTTTTGAGGAAGCTAATGTGAATGCACCATTGAGTTGCGCTCTATGGGCATAGCAAGTACGTCTGTTAATAGTTGAATTACAGATGATTGGATAACACCAAATATTTTGTAACTAACTTCACGAAACCAAGAAGAAATAATAAAGCAAGCCGCAAACAATTTCGCGGATACACCCTGTATAGAAAATAAAATTACTTTTCATCATATTGAGTATCTGACGACAAAACTAGCCTTCCATGCAAAGTAACTTTTCATTATTTACCAAAAAGATTCTCTCCTCGCTTTACATGTTTTGCCACAGCCCAAGCATATTTACAACACTACGGGGCATTTGTCTTGTATAGTTCCAATTGAAGAAGTTCATGACATATTTTTAGATTTTGGACAGCCGATGGGGTTCATTGTAATAAGCATTGCAGAAAACCTAGCACTTTATATTCCTTACTTTAATTGCGGCAAGAAAACGAAGCATAGAAATCCTTATATATTGCCGTATCTGTTCCAAGATCTGGTGGTGGCAGCTTAATTAAGATCTGAGAATGAGACCACGCGAAGGCATACATTTATCAACGGTATACATGCATTTTTCTCCACACGATAAGAATTAATCAAGCACGTCTTCTTTCTCTCAAGCTACTTTCGATCCACACCTGGATTTAAATTGATGCCATCAATAGATGTAGGTTCTATGTAGATGCTTAGCTATTTTGTTGTGGTTTTATAATTTTTTTCAAAGTTTTGGTTAGTTGGTGGTTCTCTACCGGCAATCTAGAACTAATTGAAAACTCATCTTGAAAGAAGAATGCACCTAATGATCACGTCGATGCAGATGCTTGCGTGTGAACTCCTCAAAGATAATTATTTATAGAACAACAAGTTGCATATTGTTACCAGCTCAAGTAGTCATTAAAGCATCCTGTTTTGCTCCTCATCCAGATATCCCATAAGCCAAGGGCGGCCGCATAAGAACTTCCTGCTTGCTAGTGTTACCTATTACTAAATCTGGATTCCCGTCTGTAATTTGTTTATATGATGAGATTAGCTAAAAAAGTGACTGTTATTAATCCATGTTATGAACTGATATCTTAATAATTTCCTCCCAGTTTGGAGTAAATCTCTCGTGAAGAACATCACGTAAAGCACTGAACATAAAGTGTTCAGCCAAACTACTTGAGTTGGCAAAGGAGAAATCGTAGCAAAGTAGATATCAAAGGTAAGAACGAAGGGTTGACCCAGGGAGCATTCATCTAAGGGAAGCACATGACTCTAGTTGTAATAGGGTTATCCCTAATTTCTACTCAAAGATACCAATAACAATGGTATGGTTTTGTTTAGACTAGATATTGGCATTTGTTTATGTTTCGGCCTCAACTGATGGCTTTTTGTTACTTGAACCGGAAATAATTGAAAGAGTTACAGCGTCAATCAATATAATAGTAGAAATGGAGGCATTATCAAAGTGCAATTTCATTACTCTCAAACATTAATCTAGTCGAAGTTACAAAGCTGTTTTAATATGATCAGTTTGTGTTCGGGTAAACATGTTTATATTAAGATGATAGCGACTTAATATTGTGAAATCGGCTCTTCCACCAAGTCATTCAAGTTGCTACATAGACTTGCAGTGCTTGCATCTACGGTTGTGCATTCTTTCGATAAAGGCAGCTATATAGCTAATGAAGGTAAACACAAGTATTGTTATGATTCTCCTTTAGGTTTTTTCATTGGTCATCATGAATTTTTCTGTGTTTATGAATTATTTGCCTTAATGGTTGATTTTTTAGGCTTATGGCACGTTAAGTGTAGCTAGTACAGCAGGGTAGTACCTTTTTGAATTGTTGCTTTTAAACCCGGACAGTGTTGTTTACAAAACAAATACACAAAACATAAAACATATAACAGAATGTGTTTTATAATATCTCCGTCTTCGTTAGATTTACCTACCAAGTAGGTTTTCTAAAAAAGGAATCCTCGATGCAGACGGTCTCGAAATGTGACATTTTAAGATCATTTGCCGTGGCAATACGATGGTGGCTTGGCTTTATGACTGCATCAGCAATTAACTCACAGTATTTGAGTAACGTCGTCATCTGAACTGGCTTTTTGCCAAAGCCTATGCTTTATTTTTGCGTGGTTGCTCCGTGAAAACAGACTTAGATTCCTTCTACGTCATTTGCCTTCATTTTACCATATTTACTTAACTTGAACAATACATGGTCTTTCAGCAGCATGTTTTTCAACTTCCAACAGCAGGTTTTGAAACGATCTCGCGTGTCAGATAATAATTGGTAGAGTTATAACGACCACAAACAATTCAAGCAGAGAAATATAGAACAACAAATTGAAAATAGATACAAATAATCTTTTGATATTGCTACGTCTTATTGAAAACAATTGTTCCATGGCACGAGAAATCTGTGTAAATACAAGACTGGAAATTTTTGTTTTTAAATTGACTCAGTTTGTTCAAGAGTGTCTTACGAGATCATCCTTTAGTTCACTTTCATTGAATATGCCGGCTTCGCGTAAATGTCTTTAGGCAAAGAGAGCTTTTTGTTGTGAATAATAAACTTCTTTCAAAAGTAACCACAGGTAGGCAAAATCTCGAAATAAAAGCAGGGCTTAGCTGTTATGATATGTTTATACATCGTTTGCTAGTCGTTTTGCAGTCAATACAAAAGCTGGAGCCTTTAAACTTTCCAGGAAAGTTTTCTGTATTACTGGGTATTTGATTGGAGTGTAAATCGCAAAGCTGGCAGAGTAGCTATTTAGCAAAACCAATTGTTGAGCGAATGCTATCAAGAAGACCCGCGCATTCCTCAACTCTTTTGTCATTGGAAACATAAACAGGCCTTTACGAAGAAATTGTCTTGTGTTGTTGATGCTAGTATTCATAAACAGATTCAATTGGAAAGTTGCATATTGTCAACATGTTTGTTCAAGATGGTTTCTTGGGAAGATTGTGGTGCTCGTCCACTGATTTTTTAAATTCATCGTAAGCTTTTCTTCTATTTATTCGTATCTACAGGCCCTTAACATAGAACATCGTTTACACAACCTTTTCTGCAGCTTATTGGCAAGCCGCTTATTATGTTTTAGCTATGTTAGGGTGCCATACATGTCTTTTGAGTTCGCTATTACCAAAATTGCTTTTTAAATGATGAACCGATTCTTGTTTGATCTAACATATTTCTTGATCATTTGATCAGTGTCATATTTACTTGTGACTTGCTAGCTGGCCAGCCGAACATTGGCTTATGACATTTTCAACCCATTGTTAAAAAAGTACGAATTTTCCAGCCTCTGATCCATCAACTGCACTACTTTTATGTGCTGTTATTCATCTTCTTTCAACAATTCAAATGATATACTTTATTTATCAAAGTATATTTTGACGACAAAGATGTGTTTTGAGCAATTTTGAATCTTTCTGTCTGTTAGTAAAATGTATTTTTATCAAGCAGATTATGTTTAAAATATTTCTTTCTTTGTGGATGTTGATTTTTCCTGTTTTTTCTTCAGGTGTTTCTTTAACATTCAATGATGTATTTTCATCTACTGAAGATATCTCCATCTATCTAAATTATTCATCTTCCAATGCAGGATTACAAGAGTAATCTCCTCGACATCCTTTTGAACTTATAAATGACGCTGTAGACCTTAAAAAAGTACACCTTAAAAATGTAGACCTTACGTTACAAATTGCAAGGATTTTCTACAAAAAATTATTCTTTTTCCAGATCGACCAGATGAAAACCAGCAAAAATCAGAATCGCTTTTTGGTAATGATCTTAATGTCCGCCATCGACATCGTCCTGGCGTCAGTTTCGACATCTTGCAATCCTGGCGTTCTCAAAGAATTCGGTTTGTGTGAGCAATGGGCATGCGCACAGAACTGTACTTGCGTTGAGCGACAAGACTGCCATCAGTATTGCGACGGAAAGACTTGCAAGGACATGAGATGCTTGTCACCAAAAATATGCAAACAGAAGGTAATAATCGTCAAGTTACAATCCTGTCGATTTATTATCATAATTTTTGTATGCGTAATTTGCAATGACTGAGAATGCTACTGTCTTCAAAATGGATGAAGTAGGTTCGATAAGACCAAAAAAGAAGCTAATTCGAGTGAACATTATTACTCATGACAAAATTTCTCTCATTAAATTTACGGCTTTTTCTATTGTGCAGAGTATCTTAAAATGCAATTCACTATAAACATGTTCATCTCAGTATCATATTTGATTAACCATCCCTTTAATTCGCAGGTTCATCTTAACGGTATAGTTAGGCCACATGTCCTTAACATGTTTGCACGGGCATCGCTAGTAACACAAGATTGCCAAGGAGGTACCTGTGACGTCATGAGAGCTAAAGGACCGAAACTTAATAGGCGGTCGAAAAATCAGAAAAGGAAAAACGGGAAGCGCAAAGACGGTCACCGGCGAGGTCGAGCTGTGTCTGGTGGAGAAAGAGAGCAGATGACATCTTATGCCGCTTTGCAGAACTGTGTTAGTGGTGTTTGCAAGCGCCTTGTCTCGACGTTGAAAATATCCAAGCAGTTTTGCTCTCATTGCGATAAAGTCCACTGCTTTGGAGCTTCGGCAACTAACTGCACTCAGATATGTGCGAGCGGAAAATGCAAAGTCATGCAATGTGATTCAAAGCATTGCGAACAAGCCTGCCTTCAAAACAGTGTTTGTCATATGAAGTGCGGCAAGAACGCTAAGACTTGCTTGCAGGTTTGCGCATTAGGGAGCACCTGTCAAATGTCATGTGATGCTGAAAGCTGCAAACAGGAATGTGGAGTGAACAAGGAATGCCGAATTTTAAATCGCTCTCCAAAAACACAAAAAAACACAAGCACAACAGTGTTGCCCACCACACAGGGTACGCCAAAAACGATTGACCATTCATATACAAAAGACGTTTACAACACAAGCAAACAGTCTAAAACAATATCCTTTCCCGCAAGCACAACCCAAAATAAAACCAATAGTCCAACCACAACATTACCTACGACAACAAATCCAGCAACATCAACAAAAAATCCAACAACATCAGCGAATGAAGCAACAACAGCATATTTCAGAGATCTCCTGCAAAGCACTCTGGGAAATGAAATACCGGATGTTCCAAAAACAATAGCAGAAAATGAAACAAAAACAGTTGTGGTTGTTGATATTCTGAAAAAATCAAACGACTATTCAACAAGAAGAGGAAGTTCTGCGGGAGTACTGCGAACATTAGACTTACGGATGTTTGGATCATTAACATTAATTGTGTTTAAATTGCTGATACTACGATGATAATATTTTTATGAAAGAATTTAAGAAACTAATGCTGTAAGTGTCGAAAATGTGGCGTCGAGACACTGCCAAGTGCTATTCCTGAAGTGAGCAATGAGTGTAGGCCGTCGTAGCTCGTGCTGTCATATACATTATCATTCAACATATGCTACAATATGCATTCCAAACTATTCTCGAAAGGATTTCAACTAATATCCCTGTGGTTTGACGTTCTCTTAAAAATCTTGTCATTAAACAGCTGTGAACATTACATTTTTAAAATAACGTCAAAAATGTTCATCTATTCAAGTAAATAGTAAAATGAGATCTCTCCTTATAACCATAACCATATCAAAATTAGTCGATGCTAACTGAATAAATATTTATTCGATTACAACAACATTAATGTGTAGCTCTAAGAAATAGCTAACACCTCATCTACATAAAAAAATGTGGATGATGCAGAGTCTAGAAAAATCACACCGCCAGCAACCACGAGTGACGTCATTCAAAACATGCATGCTAGCCTTGTATGCATAGTTTATCAAGGAAGGTTGATGGTTTATCTGGACTCTGGAAAAATGTTTCATATTTTAGTAGCAAATGCATTCCTGAAGCAATAACTTGTTTTCTTTCATAAAAAGTTCCGCTAATTTGTAAAGTACTGAAGTAAAAAAGAAACCATAGAAAATTTTAATGCACAGAATTGTGTAAGACTCTTGAGTCGAATGTCTGTAATTGATTCCCGAAGCCTTGTTTGATGAACAAATTCTGCCATACAGTGTGCATTTAAGGACTATGGTAATATCTTTTAATGATCGTCTCGAAGTATAGCATCGTTCTGTCTCGTTTTACATCCATTTCGTGGCGAGAGAGAATCTTTTGTCTCAATATAGATGGTCATAACAAGTTACTTGCATCTCACAACTACGACGCGTACAGTATGAACAGATAATTAGCTTTTGTAATATACAATGTCTATATAAGATAATTTTATCGTTTATAGAGCTATGATATAACTTTAATAGCGGATCAAAATATTTCTAAAGACATATGTCTACTGTATTTATAATACGTAAGCTCTAGATACGAAATGAAGCATGTGTTTATTGGCATCATTTTGTTAAAATGAGTCATTATGAAAGCATTCTCTCGTTACATAAGCATTCACCAATCATTTTGGTAGAAATACTTCAAGGGGAATAAGCTAGACCCTTGCCTCGTTATTCCTCCAAGCTTTGATATATCAAATAAGTACAATTCATGATAACGCCGTTTAAAAAGAAGTCCTCTTTCGAAAAACACTTGCTCGTTTTGTCCCCATTTAAGATAAGAATCTTAATTTTATGTCAGTTATCCGTATTGAGTTTTGTAGATTTTAATTTTGTTCTTAACTTTGCTTTTTCGTCGTAGTTTTGTAACTTTGATTGATTTAAGTGTTATTTTTATTCAAAAGGATACGAAGTTTGTTTGTTTGTTAGCTTATCATTAGTGGACATGTAAATTATGAATATTTGATAAAATATAAGTCTTCTTAACTACGTTCTGTTTCTAATTTTCCTTATCTGAAATTTGCAGTTACCACAAAAAATTGTAAAAAAAGGAAACATGATAAAAGTTTAGGAAAGTTGTAGAAGCTTCTCGATCTATTGTTTGGGAGACGAAAAATTTAGTCCTTTGTTTCGAAACATTACTTTCTTAAACCAATCAGTGTTGCAAGGTCATTGCACATGCGCATTGATAACAGTATTCGCATAACGGCTCTGCCTGTGACCCATCTCTATGCTGTGACCACACAACTCTTGAACTTCCTGCCAGGGCTTCAAGTGATAATGCGCATGTGCAATGACCCTGAAGTGGGGGCTAGTGCATGTCTGGAAAGCGGGTCTGATTCATCTCTCGAGCAACTTGGACAAGAATTTCAAAAATAGTGAAGTAGTTATGGTATCTCGGTTTTTCTTTGAACGAACGTGTGAAGTAGCGACACCAACATGCGTATCGACGTGACGCTCTGTATCAAAGACCTTGCAAAATGTTATTGGACTATCGATTTGCAAATTACTTTCATCATCGGAATTAGGACGTCTGATACAAAACTAAGTAATTGAATGCCATATAAGGAGATTCTTAATTTATGCATGAAATTTTAAGAAGATCAAAAAAGATTGATGGCTTGGATGACGCAAGAAAGAATAATTAGGAGTCAAAATGAAAGAACTTTTGTTAGTTCATTTGACGAAACTTTTTCAGTGTTTAGCTTGCGGGATAAATAGAAATTCGGGCACTAATTCCAAACCACGCTGTGGAATATATTTGCTGACTAATAAAACAGTCTGTTACATCATCTAACAAATATAATTTGAATTTCTTGTTAATTTTGAACCAAAAGCAAGGCTAGCGTTTTCAAAGACATAGAGAAAGAACGTTCGTAATATCTTTTGCATGGGCCAGTATATTTTATATTCGTTTCAATGGCTATATCAGACCCACTTATAACTTATTGAACTTGCTACAACTCGTTACATTGTAATAAAAATCAAGCTACGTAAGCCTTTGGTAAAAATGTGATTTCATTGAAATATTAAAGATCACTTAAAAGACATTTTCTCATCACCAAGAGCTTCAAAGATGTCTCAAATTGTCACACGGTCTCACGTCAGGCTACACAAACAGGCTGTCTTTGGAAGGCTTTTTGTGTTATTTATTCCACTTTAAGAAATGGTTGGCCTACCTGTGAAATGAAGTTTACACAGATATTATCTCGAGCTTTTTAGAAGCAATGTCCCTTTTTGTTTATAGTTTAATGTATTTTGTCATTTTTCGAAAAACTTTTTGATGACGAATTTTTCATGCATCTAACCTGAACACACCTTTCGATTTGAATCACAGATAACTCTTTCTGTCTACTATCAGAGATATCTTTCTTTCTAAATTAAGTCATATTTGAAATCGGGGTATCTATTCTTTTTCATGAGAAGATCTCAGATAACATTATTTAACAGAAGCGGCCACCCTTTAACACGTGACATGGAACAAATTTTATTGAGATATCGTCGATTAATTTGACTCAATTATTTCATCTCGTACGTAATTTGGCCATATTTTGCTGAAAGTCTTTTGTTCGCATGCTCTTTCACTAGCTGTCCCACATCCTCGTGGGCTAAACAAGTACACAATGAAAGCACTTTCATCAGCCGCTGTGTTAACACTGTTTGTATAAAAAGGTCTAATCGTACAAAAACTGTTCTATATCTCTATCTTTGTTTAAGTATATTTTATTTGCGTCAAGTTTATATTGCATTATGCATGGCTAGCCATATATTGTTGCTCCCTTCCAACAGTTTCCTTTCAAACAAAGTTGTTTTTAAAAGATGTTTTCTCTGTACGGAGCACTTTTCTCGAATTTTCTAGAACAGCAAAATCATTGGCTTGCTTCACTTAATGACAAGTCCAAAGGATTATCTTGATTTGCAGTTACTTGATAGCACACTCAGTATCATCATAGAGTAGCAACGTGACGTCATCAAAAATTCTGTTTTCAAAGTTTTAGAATTTTGACCCTATACAGTGGTGTCAGCGCCTCTAACAACTGAGCCATCTTATCATCTATATTAGATTCAGTGAAAAGTTTAAATGATGTTATTCACGCAAAAGTGAAACTTTTAAACAAACGCAGGTACATAGGAGGTGTAACTACAGCAATGGGTGTGGTATTGGGTGTGGCTACAGCAAACCCCCCCCCCTCCATGGTAAGTGTGAGAACCAAGGCCAATTCACTGTGGTTTGATGAGTCCTTTGCCATGTGGCAAATCTCGATTGCTTTGTAACATTTTCAGCTAAATTTGCAAATTTAGAAGTATATGCGTAATTTTCATAGTTTAATGAATGAATGAATCTGTGAATCTTTTGGTTCCTTTTTGATGACGCTGCATGATTCAATTAAATACAGTGGAAATTCACAAAAATATTCTCATGCGCAGTATATAATAATATTGCAATCATAAAAACAAACCTGGGTGAGCATCTTACGGCCCACATGCCCCAATGTTACTGTCCAGCCCGCACGAGGGTGTCGTGGTGTCGACAATCAATAAACGAACTTTTGCGAAAATATTTTCCCACTTGACAAACGCTAAAATTTATTTTACACATTTATAATCATTGCACATAATTAAGTTTCCTCTGGTTCGGTCCACCATCACAGTTCAAGTTTCTACTATGGTGGCCCCTTGTAAAAGTTAATTGCCCACCCCTGCATTACAATCTATAAGTCGACTTTGAAAACAACTCAAAGTCATTCGAAATTTACCACACTCGTTTTTGACAGTCTTCCCTAGTAAGTGTAAAAATTTAGAAGTGTTTCTGAAAGTGTTTCTGAAAGTGTTTCTAAAAGTGTTTCTAACTGAAAGTGTTTCTAATCCTTACTCAACCGCATCTCTCAAATAAGAAGCTTTTTTAAAATTGAGCCTCTGGGCTCGCACTTTCAAAAATCAAAATCTCTTGCAGCCATCCACATGGCCATGTCTAAATTATAATCTTATCAAGAACAAATAAATTGTTTACGTTTGCTTATTGACTTCACTTAAGGGTCAACACACTGCCTAACGCTGATAAAGTGTAAACATCATAGGAAGTTTTGCTTGTACATAGCTAGTTTTACATTAGGAGGATATATCTGAAACATTGCGTTTCGAGTAATTTTTTGGTTGTAAGAGCATCTACCAATCTAGATAAAGTATTAGAGTAAAGACGAACAGAAAATTGAATTTCGGCGAAACAGAAAATGACATTCTAGCAAAATATGATACCTAACCAGAGTCTTAAATTTCTCTTACCTGTTTATTCGCGTGGCTTTTCTGTTTGACAACTGTTAACCGTGAGTGATCTTCGATAGTCTGATCTTCAAAACTCTCCAAAAATAGAGGTTTAGAAGCTTTTTTAAACTATAAGTTTATTTACCAAAGTAACACTTTGATTAACGATTGAAAGAATTTTCAAGTCATTACTGAGTCAAAAAAGTTTTGAAAATGCACACGCCATTAGTTACCATGCCGAATTCCCGCCTTTTTACTTGGCCTCTCTTTCACCAGGAGGCATTTTTCGATACGAAAGTTGTTACATAGGAGTACCTCAAAAAGCCAGAACTTTTAATTAGCAATAATAATTTGACTCTGTCTGTCACAGGACCAACAAATTCATTTCATAGTAGCCTATCAATAATAGAAAATATATCCAATCAGCGAAATTAATTATTCACCCTTTGAGAAAACCGAATAAAAGCTTTTCAAGACTCGAAATATGGCGTCTAGAACAATGGTTGATACTGTTTCTCGTTTAATACTCGCAAACGAACAATAAACTGATGATCGAAAAGGGTGGAACACGTGAACAAACACTAGACTCGTCAACGAATAGCTCAATTAGATTGTCTACGTGAAGTTTCTAGCATAATTGACATGTTTAGAATTTGCAAGGATCAATGAAATATTAAAGTTAAAGATCAAGTACTTTGAACAGAGAAGAACAAAAAATGGTTTTCTGCTGGAAGACTTGTCTCAAATGGATAAGTTTTGAAAACCAAATCAAATGAATCATAGAAAAACAGCGAGGGTGATGAAGTTTTTATTTTCCAATTGTTACCCTTGTCTATTACAAAGTTATCAGTAAAAATTCTAGATAAATCAAGAAAATTTTCTAATTAAGATACCCAAATAAATAAAGAAAGAGAGAACGTTCAATCGTTGTGACTAAGGATTAACTATATTTCTATATTCATATATTTATATATCTATATATAGGTAGAGTATTAGGTATAAAATATCTTCGTTACAATTCGAACCTCCTGACACGTTATATAGACTGAGCTACATTAGCAGTTTTAATTTACATGAAATTAAAATGAATCTAAGGTTAGAAAACCAGCATAAAATGCAAAATTGTTCCTGGTGTATTAAAAAATTTCTAATTGCTCTATAATACAGTTTAACCGTTTGACCCTACTTTTTGCATTAGGGACTAATACTCCGTCATATATACTGAAAAAGCTACACTTTGTTCAGGGCACAGACTGTAGAGAACACTTCTGTTTCTACCTCAACCTCAACTTGCTTCGAATGCCCAGACTTGAAAAGATTGAACAAACGGAAAACTACTTCTTTGAAAAATCATCGATTCATCTTGCGTTAGAAAACTTTGGAATGTGAGTTTATAATTCTTTAAAAATGAAAACCTTCTTTTATTGAGTATAAGGTTTATCTCAGGCGGGTACCCTTGACCAAATCTAATCGGTTCTAAAATCTAGAAACTGTGGAATCGACGATGGACTGAGAATCTGAGATGAAACCAAGAATTATCAAAAAGCTGAAAAGGGTATCACTGCTTTGGTTTGGAACGTGAATAATTCGACAGCTGATATATTTTTGTTGTAGTTACATATAAGTTGGTATTAGAGAAAACTATAAAGCAGAAGAAATGGAAACGATAGCTGTTTCATAACATGGTCATCGGATATCATGGGCGTGTACACTAGATTCCATCTGTGCCACACGCCTATTCAACGGACAGGCGCGACAATATTCTTAAGCTACAGACAACTACTTGCTCTTCAAATTTCAGCATTTAAAACCTGTCACCAAGAAATTCAATCTCATTTTACGTGTTCTTTCCTAGGCCTTCAGTGCCGTGGTTACGGCGCCTACTCACATTCAAATTCATCTAAAACGCATAGTTTCCGACATTGACAAGAATCTTAAATGTTGTTCTACATAGCAGTTGTCCTTTGTTGTTTATTACATCACCAACTATCTCGACACTGTAGTCTCCTGGATAAATAAGATCCCTCTTGGTGTTAAGGGAGCATGCAGCGCCAAAATTACGAAGGGTGAAGTAAGACTGGCCATCTCTGAAGTAAAACTGTGATTTACCAAAGAAGCTATAATAATGCGACGATCTCAATGTTGCTAGTCGACTTCCTTGTTTTGTCCCTTTTGGAACAGCAAACTGTCGGAAGTTAATGAATCTGTCCGTGCAAATGTCCCGAGGTCCTGTTGGTCGCTTAGTGCAGGGTTTTCTGCACATTCTAAGATACAAAAGAGAAGAACTGATACGTGAATATTGACATAAATATTCACAGCGGAATTTTACAAAGAAACGGTAACATCATTGTGTCAAAAGATACAGCCTTGTTACCTCATATATTTTCTCAAAAATTTTCGTCACCGAACTATGAAAACGTGAAAAACGATCACATGGACTCGTATACTCTAAAATAAAAATGGCAGCTAAAACATTTCTTGGTTCAGAAATTACAAAATTTTCTTTTTGACAAATTACGTCTGATTAAACTAGCTACAGCATTGAAGCAGTCAAGCAACATATCAAATCAAGCTTCGATGAACTGGCCAACTGGTCCAAGGTGAGAGAAAAAGGGTATGTTAAAAAAACCAGGCCAATGTTTTCTAGGGGAGCTCTCCAAGAGCTGGAAAATAGCTGTTGACTTGAAGTGATCTTGAATGGTCAACATCAGCTTGAGTTGTGCAGTACATGAGGAAATGAAAATGGCTATTACAGCGTACTCCTACGAGCATCAGGCAAAAAGAATTCCAAAAGAGAACTGCCGCGGCGAATTTACAAAAACCCAAATAATATTTGATTCGGTAATTGGTCAGCATTTGCTCACAAATCCAGAGTGTGGCAAAATGCATAGTGATGTATCATTCCAACATCATTGGACAGGCAAGGTTGTCCTTTCATTTAGTTGTTTTTGAGTCTCCTCGCATAAAAAGGCTATGAAATTAAGCAAAAAAGTATAAGGGAATTTGTTTCAAACGGATTTAAGCTTGCAGTATTTTTCTAGGTTGTTCCATTTTATACGAACAAAGCAAACAAGACCAAAGTGACGACAACGAACCTTTTGCCATAATGTAGGAAGCCTTCTGGGCAGCTCAGGTCAACGCATCGGTAAGATCCTAGTGTATTGAAGCAGTATTGCTGCTTGGTGCATCCATTCTGACCGGCAGTGCACTCGTTTATATCTATAGCAATAAAGGAACAAGGTCACATTAACATATGAACAATAGGCAACAAGTTTTCTTTCTAAAAGTCATTTGGTTGAGGGCTTTACCTTTGAATCCTTGATAAATTTACTCCATTGCGCCTCTTGGTTAAACGTGCTAAGATCTAACTCTATTTAAGACCACTTTCCACTAAAAATCTAAATATCTTAATATTGCTAATTCCAAAACATCGATCTGCTTAGACCGAGAATAATCATAACAATTATTATGGCGATGAGAAACATTGAAAGGAATGTACTTTGCTGTCTAGCTTCCGAAGGTAGTTTTAGGCCAATGAGAAACTATTTTTATCGAGCAATGTCCTGGCTCTTCCACTCAATGTGATTACACCTCGTGATTCCTACACCTGGAATTACAGAGAGCTGGCGATTCGCCACACTTTTCTCACTGTGAAAGTTTCATCATTTCAGGGGCTCGAACCACAGACCCTTAGATCTGTAGCCAGCGACCCTAACCACTGAGCCATCCTCACACCTAAATGCAAATTTTACACAGAAACGTTTCCGTGCTTGAGAACTGAAACATTTTCATTCTTGTTCCCTTGTCTTGAGTTTTAACTTAAATTCTTTTTACTTCCATATCACTTTCCATGTCTGAAATACTTTTGCTTAAGTATGTAGACAGACGGGTACATAGAAACTAATCTTACCATGGTATGATGCGACAACATTCGTGACTACTGAACATGAAATAAATATGAATCAAATTCCAATTGTTCCCTTGTGCGCAGTCGATAATTACAGAATCATAATATGTAAGTATACATTCATTAATCCTGTTATGCAATCAATTATAAACTTTTATATCCTTGCCTCTAATGTCGAAAAAGGCACGTAGTTGATCAAAACCATCGACTTAACTATCTTTCTTCTTATTAGATATTGTTTGCAATTTTTGCTTCGTTGTTTTTTAAATTCAAAGCGAATGAGACATCTCACAGGGAAGAATTAGAGCTGGCAACAGCTTTTGAACATACAATTGGGTTTGGTCATGGGTGTAAAGCTAGGGGGCTCAAGGGAGGCTGAAGGGAGGCTGAAGGGAGGCTGAAGGGGGGCTCAAGGGGGCTCAAGGGAGGCTTAAGGGGGGCTCAGCCCCCTTGTTGATGACAAAAATTGGAGAATTTCTACATTTTCTATTGTTTTACGCAATCTATTGTACAAGAGCCCCCCACTGTTATTTGATAGCACCACACCACTGGATTTGGTAGCGAAATTACTACCAAAATTACAGGCTGAATGACTTTAAGTTTATATTCACTCTTCATACATATCGAATAAGATGACCATTGAACCATTACAAAGTGAATAAATTTTGTTATCTTCTAGAGACACTTTTCTATTTAACGACGTCATAAAAACTTTTCGAGAACATATGGATACTTTAATATTAAACTGAAATGACTTACCACTACAATGCCCATGATATTTTTTTTGATAGCCAGCAGGACATGAACACAAATACATTTTGTTCATAGTCATACATTTATGTGTACATGCCCTTGCGAAGAATTCAGGGCACGGCTCTTCAGTTGTTCTTACCACGAGTTGTTTGGTTGTCACAGCAACAGTGGTTGGTACGGCTGCTGTTATCTGTGATGATTTGACAGCTTGAATGACGTCAGACTCCTTCACATTGATACCACCTTGTTGCAGGCCAACTTCATTGTCAGCATTCATGTAAGCTGCAATAACAACCAAAGGCAATTCAACCTAAGAAGTTAGTACTTCATTGACGCGATCTAAATAAAATTATAGTATCTAATCGACAAATATATTCTTAAACAGAATATAACGATCATATCTAAGGTCTCGGAAAGAATGTGTTGAAATTCTTCTTTCCCTCTTCCTATTAGAATGTTAATATCTCTGCTATTAGAGTACATACGCTGGGAGGGGGGAGGGGATAGACTATATTAATGACACCAAACATGTGTTAAGGTGCTGTCAGCTCTACCACAGATTGTAGGTACAATGGCAATATTAATCAAGTTTCCTTTGAAAATAGAAACAGGATCGGAAGATCGAGATCGTTCAAAAATCGGTAACCAGAAAAAGATTCAAAATGATTTAAAACATTTTTTAAAGAAAACTTAAATCTAAAGAGTATGATGTCAAATTAAATCTGTTTACAAACGCAGTTAAACGAAAGGAAATTTTCCTGAATGACTTACAAATTTCTTATAAAAAATATTCACAAGTGAGACATCGTTTCATGTGAATGACCCATGGCTACAAAGTCATAAAAGAAAAGAACCAACTTACGTGACCATCGGCAATGCCTTCTAGCCATGTCCCACTTGTAGTCACTTGGGCAACGACAGAACTTTGTGTTGTGGAACATAAAACACCTGTTTGGATTGGGTAGTAAGAAACGCTCTTTTACAGAATTATGGAGGACAATAGTTTTTTCACACCTCATACCATATCTGTTCCATTTAAATGTCTGCGGACAAAAGCACATTGTAGAGCCCATGAAGTTAAAGCATCTGATTGGTTTGGCATATAGCACTTTAGCTCTACGACCAATCATATTTGACTGTGATGTCTGTTTATCAGCTGAAACAAAACAGAAATATTTTCTTAACCATTGAACCTATTTATTAGTACGTTCGATAAAAGATCGATTAGATGTTTTCATAGCAAATTGTATTATTTCATGAAATTTAATAATGAGAATATCAGAACTTCATGAAATGAGAATATCATAACTGAAGCTAAAGTGGCTAGTACTGTGGAGAAGGTTATGGAATCAAGGTTGAGATGGTTAGGTCATATGATGAGAAGAGATGAGGATCAACCAGTGTAGGAAGCATGAGAACTACCGGTGGAAGGTCGAAGATCTGTAGGTGTTGTTTTGAATTAGGGTAACATTTAAGCCTCAGAAGAAAATTAATTCATCAATAAAAAATTGGCAAAATTTGAAAGGCACAAAGATGAAACTTTATAAAAATGCCAGTGCCACAGCATGAAAATTATCTTTCTGTGTATTTTCAGATTTTAAAATACCAAGTATTTTTTTAAAAAGTCTGTTGGACGGAAACGGCATAATTTTAGAAAGGTCACAATCTCAGAACGTTGAATGATATTTTCAAGGGTCCTGTATATTTATTAGCCAAAGCTAATGTCTTCTGTACAAAGTTCGAGTATTTTGGTATTATAAAGTAGGAGCCATCTACTGACTTCATGAACAATTTGTTGGCTTTCCATCCAACAGACTTTCGAACAGTAATAATCAACCATTACGAAAAAAATTGTTGCTCAGTTATCAATAACAATACCTAGCATGAAAAAGGTGTGCTTGAAATTGTGTGCTGCTAACAATAGGCCTTTTACCTTTATTTCAAAAATGGTCATTCCGTCAAACAGTTGGACCTTTTTCTCTATTTTGTATAGACAATCGATTCAGAAACGTTGCATTTGACGTTTCTGTTGGACGGAATTCTCTTTTATATTTAGAATTATGCCAATTACTACGTGGGGTCTATTTATGAACAAATGGATCTTTTCTTCTACTTTACTAGGCGTTCGATTAAGAAATGTTGAATTTTATCCTTTTCTTCAACTCAAATGAATCAATGCTACGTACGCTTGCTATTTAGTTTGTCTCGAAAACGTATTGAAGTTTTCCACTAGCTTTACCATGAAGAAGTAACTAACAATTTTAAGGGTATTGTTTGAAAATTTGCATTTTGTCCGTCCAACAGTTCTGTTTAACAGATAAAATCTAAGAACTTCAGGTTTGATTATAGTTAAGCATTCAAAACTTCCCGTTTTCAAAAAACGTTAAAAACGTTGCATGTATCTTATGATTTGATTATCTTATCAGTCGAAGCTTTTAAGTCAAGCATTTTAGTAAAAAAATTATCACCGTGATTTTTGCCAACAGTTATAATGCTATCTATTCCGTCCGACACATCAATATTTTGCTAAATTTTTTCCAAACCTCCAGACGTATTAAAACATTTCTTTGTACAGCCTTTACTCCACCTGGCAGGGTTTAAAATTCCCCTATCAAAAAAACCAAGGCTGTTTTAGCACAAATATTTGAACGCAGAAATTATACCGAATTCCATTCAAAAGAAAAATGTTAATTCAAAATAACACCAGGAAACAAAGATTGAGGTGAAGAGATCTGGTTGAAGACGATATGAGAAAGAAAAACATTATTGGCGGCGACGTGCAAGAATGGCCGACCCCAGCTGGAACTAAGGAAGAAGCAGAAGAAGATGAAGAAGAAGAAAAAGATGATAATGAAATTAAATACCTATGCATGTTCTCTGGTCCTTCCTTAGGACATAGCCTGCTCTGCATTTACAATTGTATGACCCAACAGTATTGACACAATCTTGCTGACAAAGTTGAAGACTCATTCGACATTCATCGACATCTGAAAGTTGAATTTTCTATGTTTAAATTTCATATACAAGCATCATTTGATATACAAGATGTCTCATAATAGTGAAAGTATCAGTTGAATAGAGATACAAATAAATCTGTTTATCTATCATCTTGCCTTCTAGAAATCAGCATCAAGGATAATCCAGTGAAAAAAGTCAATTTCAGTTGAGAGCAACAATATTACCGACTGAATTTACTTTTTTTTCTAAAGCTCAGTTACCAACCGAGCATTGGCGGTTGAAAACAAAATAAGGAAATTTGCAAGAGTCCCACATACAGTAAAATACCACAAGCATGGCATTTTTTAACTTTGAACTAATAAGTAACATAGGCAAAACATTGAACGAGTCTTCTTTCTTACCAACACATTTTCTATCGCCGTCTCTCATCCTAAAGCCTCGACGACAAGCACAACGATGTCCTCCTCTGATATTGACACAAATTTGGTCTTCATGACATGAGTGGCTCCGTTCATTACATTCATCAATATCTACAAGAAAATGATCATTGGATAATAGTAACACACTGTGTATCGGTAACAATGAAAACTTCCTATAAATCTTGGCTGTAACGCTAAGATAATGAGATAAAGTAAAGCTTTGACTAGTTGGAGGTGATGCAATGAACTTACGACGCGAGGTTCTGACCAGCACTCCAAGTTATCAACGCTATCGCTAAAATCTCGTCTCCCTTTATAAAACCGATGCCAGTCAAGTTTGCTCTGGCAATTGTTAAAAAATTTGGCGATGTTGTTTCAATGGTAGAGAGCGTCGCAAATTTTCAACTTAGGCAATTTTCAACTTCGTTACATTTCTAAAATTGGTGTTAGTTTTTCCTACCCTTTTTACAAGGATTGCACCTATCTCAGCAAATGATCTAGGCGAATTATCGCAATCAAATTCGGCTGAATGCGATTGAATGTCGTTCGATAGAACGATCTGTCTCGCATGTTTAGGCTCAATGAGACAGGTCCCTCATATGTTATACATAACTAACTATTATACATAACTCGCATCCAATACAAAGAGTTTTGCAGACAATACTACAGACAGTGAACTTGATACATGTAATTATATCCATCAAAACGACCAGCCGATAAACTATATTGTCAACTTTAGCACAATTCTATTTAAAGGTGAATTTGATAATTGAAACAAAATTGCACACCTCTGGTGGTCTGGTGGCAATTAACCAAAGTTCTTTGAAAACTACCTTATTAGTCTGGGGCAGTCATTTGATCTCATGAAGGACCATGTTGAAAAACAAACGAATACGCAAAAAATGCAAAAAAGGTTGTCGGCCTTTAAATCTAGATTTAAGATATACTGGGAATATGAAAAGCAGTTTTAAGGGGGAAAATCTAGGATTACCACTTGCCTGTTTTATGCTGAAAAGTGTCAGCCAAACAATAAAAGGACCAAAAAAACTTCAGTTAACTGTCAGTAGACAAATTAAATTCAGCTTCAATAATTCTAATTAGTACATAAAAATTCCTACATTAATACATCAAATCAGGTGCAATAGAAATCGTTGGGAAGATTACAGTTATCATTGAAGAGAGGAAAAGGCAAAACCTTGCTTGGCTCTTTTAATAACTTGGATTTTACTTATCACGTTCTTCAACAAATTACATTCTTTGTCACTAAGAAATAAATGTGAACATTTCAAGAGATAAAATTGTGAACACAACATCGGTCCAACAATGATGCCTACCTTCGCACACCCCTTTCAATTTTGCTTTATATCCAAAGGGGCAAACTACTTCAGTTTCTTCACCAGTGACAACCGTTGGAGGTTTGGTTGTTGCTACAGTGGGTGCTACAAAAGTTTCTGTTTTCATAGGCGCATCTGTATCCACTGACGGTTTGGTTGGTGCTGACGAGCTTTGCACCGATGATGGATTAGGCGCATCTGTATTGCTGGGGGTCTTTGTGATCACTGGAGCTTTAGTCGGTGGTGCAGTGCTTGAAGGACCAGGCGCATTTGTTTTAACTGGCGCATTTGTGACTACAGCAGGTTCGGTTGCTGCTGCGGTGCTTTGAGGAACAGGAGCATCTGTTTTTACTGGCTCCTTTGTGACTACTTCGGGTTCTTTGGGCGATGCAGTGCTTGGTGGAGCTGGAGCATCTGTATCGACTGGTGCCTCTGTGACTACTTTGGGTTCTTTGGGCGATGCAATGCTTGCTGGAGCTGGAGCATCTGTTTTTACAGGTTCTTTTTTGACTACTTCCGGTTCAGTAATCAATGCAGTGCTTGGTGGAGCAGGAGTATCTGTTTTGACTGGTGCCTCTGTGACTACTTCGGGTTCTTTGGGTGATGCAGTGCTTGGTTCAGCGGGAGCATCTGTTTCGACTGGTTCCGCTGTGACTACTTCGGGTTCTTTGGGCGATGCAGTGCTTGGTGGAGCAGGAGCATCTGTTTTGGCTGGTTTTTCTGTAGCCACTGCCGGTTCAGTAATCAATGCAGTGCTTGGTGGAGCAGGAGCATCTGTTTTGACTGGTGCCTCTGTGACTACTTCGGGTTCTTCGGGCGATGCAGTGCTTGGTGGAGCAGGAGCATCTGTTTTGGCTGGTTTTTCTGTAGCCACTGCCGGTTCAGTAATCAATGCAGTGCTTGGTGGAGCAGGAGCATCTGTTTTGACTGGTGCCTCTGAAACTACTTCAGGTTCTTTGGGCGATGCAGTGCTTGGTGGAGCAGGAGCATCTGTTTTGACTGGTTTCTCTGTGGCCGCTGCCGGTTCAGTAATCAATGCAGTGCTTGGTGGAGCAGGAGCATCTGTTTTTATTGGTGCCTTTGTAACTATTTCGGGTTCTTTGGGTGATGCAGTGCTTGGTTCAGCGGGAGCATCTGTTTCGACTGGTTCCGCTGTGACTACTTTGGGTTCTTTGGGCGATGCAGTGCTTGGTTCAGCAGGAGCATCTGTTTTTACTGGTTCCTCTGTCACTACCGCGGGTTCTTTGGGCGATACTGTGCTTGGTGCAGCAGGAGCATCTGTTTTTACTGGTTCCTCTGTCACTACCGCGGGTTCTTTGGGCGATGCAGTGCTTGGTGCAGCGGGAGCATCTGTTTTTACTGGTTCCTCTGTGACTTCTTTGGGTTCAGTTGGCGATACAGTGCTTGGTTCAGCGGGAGCATCTGTTTTTACTGGCTCCTCTGTGACTACTTCGGGTTCTTTGGGCGATGCAGTGCTTGGTTCAGCGGGTGCATCTGTTTTGGCTGGTTTTTTTGTGGCCACTGTCGGTTCAGTAATCAATGCAGTGCTTGGTGGAGCAGGAGCATCTGTTTTGACTCGTGCCTCTGTAACTACTTCGGGTTCTTTGGGCGATGCAGTGCTCGGTGGAGCAGGAGCATCTGTTTTGACTGGTTTCTCTGTGGCCACTGCCGGTTCAGTAATCAATGCAGTGCTTGGTGGAGCAGGAGCATCTGTTTTGACTGGTGCCTCTGTGACTACTTCGGGTTCTTTGGGTGATGCAGTGCTTAGTGGAGCAGGAGCATCTGTTTCGACTGGTTCCGCTGTGACTACTTCGGGTTCTTTGGGCGATGCAGTGCTTGGGGCAGCAGGAGCATCTGTTTTTACTGGTTCCTCTGTCACTTCCGCGGGTTCTTTGGGCGATGCAGTGCTTTGTGTAGCAGGAGGATTTGTTTTGACTGGTTTCTCTGTGACTGCTTTAGGTTCAGTTGACGGTGTTTTACTAAGTAAAGCTTTAGCATCTGTTAGTAATGTTTGCCGCGTTGGAGCTGGTGAGTTTTCACCTGAAGTATCTTTTTTTACATGTGCATTTTCTTTAGTCAGAAGATTCTTATTTCTGGTTGTTGGTGAAGAGGGCTTTGTTAACCGCAAATTACTGGAACTAGATTTGGCAGTTGTTGAGGGTATATTTGGAGTTTTAAATCTATCAAATATCCACCACGAAGTTTCATATTCGTATTCATCAGTAACTAGTGGAACAGCAGTTGGAAACTCAGTTGTTGAGGATGCTCTTTTGGTAGTCGATGGATTATGCGTTGACGAGATTTTAGCATTAGTGGAATGCTTAGAAGTAGAGAAAATAATATTTGAAGACTCTTTAGTTGTCAAATGTGGTTCAAAAGTTGGCCCTTTAAAATCTTTCACGCTTGAAGAAGATGGTATTTCTACTTTATTCGCAGTTTTAACTATTGGTTGGTTTGTATTTTCCACAGTTGAGGCTACCGTATTGACGTTGAAAATTCCTTCAAATGTATTTGGCTCTTCAGTCTGAGGCTCAAATGGCACTTCCGTTTTCGCCAAATATGCCGTCTCTTTAGTTGTTGTCGACTTTCCATTCTCGTAAATTTCATTATTGATCGAATTTGTTCTTGCAGTAGTGGTTGCGACTTGCTTCATTGCATCTGTACGTATTATGGCTGTTCTATCATTGACAACCTTGTCCGTCTTCTGTGATTCAGGAGGAGATGTCGAGACCACCAAATCAGCATTTACCTGAGAGATTTTGGTTGTAATCTTTGAAACATGCGCAGTTTTTGGCAATGAATTATCTGTTTTCAAATTTGGCATATGAGTAGTTGGCTTGATAGGTGTCGCTGTTGTTAGTGCTTTGGTGATAATAGCAAGCTCTTCACACTTGTATGAACCTTCAAGATTGACACAATCCTGGTCTGGTTTACAGGGTGACGAAGCATTGGAGCACTCGTTAATATCTAGAGAAGAAAGGTGTACCAAAATTGATTCATAACGTCAGATTGAGCAGCAAAAAGGCAACATTTACCAACAAAGCAAACATCAATTCAGATAATAGGTTTGTAATGTGTGGGAAGGAAGAACCGCAGGATAGGCTGTCTGCCAGATTCTATGAATCTAGCAATGAATATGAATATGAAGATAAAGTTCAGCAACAAAGCAAAACAGCGACGAGAATCGAATATAAGTACGCACTTTTTAAATCTTTTTTAAAAAATTATCTTATTACATTGGATTCTCGTCGCCGTTTTGCTTTGTTCCTAAACTTTATCTTCATATAGGTTTTTACCCATTTTATATAAAGTTTGCTTTAGCAAGGTGGTTTATCATTCAACTATTTTCAGAGCAAAGGCTTATTCAGAGCTGCTGTTAATAACAGCAAACAGAACGACAGGTTTTCCTCCAGCTTTGGTACATTGCATTGCTGTGTTAAAAAGCCTGGTGTGTATGCTGTCCATGTGAAAACATTGGTTTTTAAGTGCTTGGTCAGAAATTGTGTTTTATGTGAAATCAATTTCATAAAATCCAAGACAGGTTTACTGTTGAATAATGGCAAAGGAGATACATAGTTAGTTGCGGAGAACATCCACATCAAAGGCATTTCTAGAAGCTAGAGATTGAGTTACGATACATGGATAGTATGATGGAAAGAAGTTTGCAAACACACTCCGACCGTATTAAAGCTTAGATGAGACCACAAAAAGAAGCAAGAATAGAAGGACTGCTGCTCTAGCAAGAATAGAAAGAACACGGGAAGACTCTTCCGTGTGTTCCTTTTGAATAATTTGCGAACTAATTTCTTAAACCATCTTGAATTACTATCTACCATTCTTGACAACAATTGGGCGAGTTTTCTCTTGCAGACACGTTTTGGATGTAAGACAAAATCTAGTAGTGATTTCGAGCTTTCCGTAATCAAGTAACGTACAAACCCTTCAACTGTCACTTACAGAAAATATCTTTAGAATAAACAGAATATTGCACTGACCTTCACATATCCCCTTGTCACTCATCTGGTAACCGATTCGGCACAACTTTCGTTCGCAAAAATAATCCCCTAACGTATTCACGCAATTTTCGAAGACAGTGTTGCATTTGTTTTTATTTCCTGCACACTCGTCGATATCTGCAAAACAAAAAATTATTGCCACATTAGATATTAACCCCTGATGTAGGTTGGTTGGGTAAGGAATCGCATAGAGTACATTACATGCAGTGACTATGTAACATAGTTTGACTTCACTTCTTATTATAACGTAAACCATACGCATAAATGAGAATGGCAATCAAAATTAGAATTTCAGATCGCAGGTTGATTGAAAGGATATAAATCCTTATTAAATACAGGGTATAAGAGTTCACTTCCATAAACCGGTCCCATAAACTAGTATTCATTTTGATCGATTATCCTATATAGTACAATGCAAGATTATCATATCACAGCAGTTAATTTACAGATGGGACATCGTCGATAACCTGTATTTGTAGGCACCAACAAGGCCTTATACCATTCTTGATTACAAGTAATATCTTAAATAGGTGAAGAGGATGTGTTTTTCTCAGTGACTGGAACAGCACTTTTGAATCTGTTAAAACAATACAAATAAGAAGTACCATAAACATAGGCAAAAATGGGTCATAAAGGTTGGGCGTAAGGTTGGGGCTCTGAAAGGTGCGATAATTTCTTCAAAATTACTTTACACACAGCCAGTGAATTGCTCCAGCCTTACAACATTTTTTCTATTCAAAGTATTTTGGATTTTGTTCCTCAGTATTGGCTCCAACTTATATCAACCATCACAACTTGGCTACGCTAATCATAGCCTCCTGTGACCAAAGTAGGTTAAGTTATTGGATTGAAAACTCAGTATGGTCCAGAAATAGTGAAGATTAAGGTTTTCACCCGAGGTTCACCCGCTTCATCTTGAAATAGTGGGCTGAAAACCAAGTATCATGAGCCAAGAGCTGATGTATTTGAAGAACTTTCAGTTTAATTTGTTATTTACCAGATTATATGACTAAACAACTATGAATTTAGGTATCTCACTTAACATTCTACTGTTTGGGATTTTATTATTTTCTTTTTGTTCGAATTTATATCATTTATGAGCTACTTAATCTCAATGAGCATATTTATTTGCTCACACGTTCTTGTGTCGGTAAAGTGGCTTGTTCACCTTTTAGTGCGTCTAGTTGCGTCCGTTTCAGATTTAATATCACGACTACAATAATTATTCAATCCTGCTTTAAAATAAAACAAACAAGTTTGAGTATTTATCTTGCTGGAGTTGTATTCGAACTAATTCAATTTCAAGGATAAATCTACAATAATTAAAAAAAGATACCTTTTAGCATTAAAATCAAAGGATATAGTGACTATACAATATATGCAAATCAGTGGAACCACGATAAAGCAACCCTTCGTCAAGATATCAAGTTTTTGGTTATCAACTAAGTACGCTAGTTATGCATGTGCCTACGCTAGCTGGCCAATGCTACTAATTAGGTGAAAATATCATTAAATTTAGTAGATTACCAAGTAACATCTTAGGCTCAGGGTTAGTAGATGACGTTGAAACAAACGGAAAATTGGGTTTCCAGCTTTGGTGGGTATAAATGAAAAAAATATTATCTTTCAAAAAATTTAACGATTTCCTAGCTTAATTGCACAGTCCTTTCCGTAAAAATTTCATTCACTTTTCGTTCGGTTCACTCATTCATTCATTCATTAATTAATTAATTAATTCATTTATTAATTCATTCATTTATTCTTTCGATCATTTATTTTTTTATTCATTTATTCGTTCATTCATTCATTCATTCATTCATTCATTCATTCATTCATTCATTCATTCGTTCATTCATTCATTCATTCATTCATTCATTCATTCATTCGTTCATTCATTCATTCATTCATTCATTCATTCATTTATTCATTTCTAAGTGTATTCAATTATTCAGCTCTGCTCTATCAGACATGGTATAACTTTACGCTTTGATGTTTAAAATTAAGAGGCATTCGGTACAGCTATGTCATAAAATTTCACAGACAAATAGTGGTGACAAACACATAAAACTTGAGTATACTTCATCCCCAAAAGCTGGCGCCGAAGGCTTGTTGACAAAATGAGACAGCATGTTCCCACAACAAGACTCAAATTTGTGATACTCGAGATCATCAAAATTGTCTCAGATAGGCGTTTACATTTTTCCTAGTTCTGAGTCAAAACTATTTGGGATTCTCAAGCAAAATAGTTTCGGTTCTTCAGTTTCAGTGTAAACAGAAAGGCGAGTGGAGACACAGTTTTGTTACGGTTCCAACTGACATGGAACAGCGAAAACTCTGAGGTCTTATACTCGTATTTCGTTAGCACATGTTAGGATTCCACTATTTTATGCTATCTTTGAATTCTCAGAGAGTTAATCAGATTTTTGAGCAAATCAACTTTGAAAGATGCTGCACGAATCTACTTATGAATTGGTGCTTGGCATAGCAAGGTTAAATTTTCATCAGCCAGCCGGTTATATTCGGTTATATTTTTAGCAATTCCGCCAGCAGGAGATAGCCGTGTTCAGGCTGCTTCGTACGAGCGGTCACTGATTTGTTGAATTATAAAAATGTAATTAAGTGCGTTATCGGCTACAAAGTCATACTTTGTTTTGAAAGCTGGATGATTTAAAAAAGTAGCAAGGCTGCATAAGAAATTACCAGTGAGGCAAGATTGTAAAAACGCTTACATGACTCGACAAGAAAATTACTCATCAGAAAAGAAACGAAACAAATCAGATAGGTATGAATGTGGTGTGAATCGCAAGTCGGGTGAAATGTAAAATGTTGGTTTTATTTCGCTCTCAGAGAGAATTAATGAAGCTTTTTTATTGTGATTTTTATTGAGTGGGTTTAAGTCCAGGATGCTTTATCGTGGCCCATCCGATCATAGTCACTGCAATACGCACCGTAGCATTTGTCCTTCTTGCTGTCAAATCTATAACCCTTTTTACAAGGTGCGACAACACAGACAAATGAAGGAATCAGATTGGCACAGTAAGAGCCATCAGGACAAGGGCTTGGTACGTTTTGACATTCATCAATATCTGTAAATAGAATATGAGTTTATCACAATTTAAAGCCAACGTAGCTAGAAATGTTCTCCTTGCTTTCATGAATCGTAATCCATAAAATATTACACTTTTATGTTTCTGCAAACAGTAGCTGCATTAGAAGGAGCCTTTTTTGAATAATTTAAATGTATTGCTTACATATAATTTATTATTAGAATGAGCTAAGTTTAAAAGAACATTAGGAATTTTTCATTGAATTAATCAAAAAGGTCACGAATGGTTAAGAGGAAACGTACTTCACAGAGAAATATGTGTATAAGAATGTACTTGGAAAGACAACACGTTAAAGCAAGCAAAACTTTGCCATGAAATGTTGGAGAGAGGTGAGTCCCCTGGTAACAAACTTCGGTTAAGGTTTCTGGAGCCACAACAAGGAGGGAAGATAAAAATAGATATTTAAAAGAAAAGAAATGCTATCAAACGAAAAGCATAAATAAATGATCTGAAAAAAGTATTTCGTGTTTTTTCAACGATTTTGAATCAGCAAAATATAGATTTTGAGTGATTTTGGTCGGCACTTTCCCTATCAAAATTAAGGACTTTTTCCTAATACTTGATTAACGAGAAAGATAACCTGAAATTTATCAAGCTGCCTGATTTGGTGCTAGCTGTTTGATTCTGTTTTTACTTTGTTTTAGTAGATGCATAATAGCAAGCATTTCTGGCGAAAAAAAAGTCAATGAAAGAAGATTACAAAGTTCAATAACTTAAAGTTACTAAGTTGATAGAAGATTTTCAAAGAAGAAAAGCGTTTAAGAAAGTATGGAGGCGAATGTTATTTCTATAGAAAGGTAATTTGTTAAATGATAATTGGCATGATGGCGTGAGACTGTTATTGCATACGAGTGGTACGGTAAATGACTTGCTAACTGTAAAATGTTAAGTGCCAAGATTAAGAGAAAATGGTACACAAATATAGGGAAATGGTGAAAATAAATGAAAATAAGTAACTGGACCTTGGCATGTTCCATTGACTCGCTTGTATCCGGCTTGGCATGGGAGAGTAAAACAAAAATAGCTGCCTTCGTTATTAAAGCATCGTTGACCTGGTAAGCAGGCATCATTACTTTTACATTCATCGATATCTGCAACAAAATAACGCAATCAGGCACTATGATCTATGTTAGACAAAACAATTCATGAACAACCAGATTATATACCTATTCGATATTGAATTTTTTTAGTAAGTGTTTTGAAAATTCCACAAGTTCCAACGTACAAAACAATTTTGTATAATTCGATATTGCTTTGCTATTTAAGACTCACCAACGCATCTTCCATCTACGTTTTCGAAACCCGGCTCACACGTTTGAGTGAAACAGGCATAAGAGCCCTTCTTGTTCAAGCAAATCTCGTTTGGCTTGCAAACATCCAGCAAGCACTCGTTGATATCTGCAATGCAACACACGCATATCAATATACTTGTGAACAAAGGTGCTTAAGAAAAGGTCGCTATTTTGAACAGTCTTAAAGGCCTTTTTCTTAATCTTACAAAAATATCGCTAAACAGATCAAAAAGGGCAAAGTTAAACAGAATAAAAAGTATCTTTAATAGCGGTGGATATCATTCGAGGGTTATATAGGATGTGCACACGTATCCTCAACCAGGCAGCTAAGGTTTTTAAACTTTCCTAAATAAATAAAATCTCCTGTACCGAACGGTATAATTCATCAGCAGGTACAAAAAGATGGCTTATACATGGTTAATGAAAAGGTATCAAAAGAAAAATGATGACAAAATATAGAAGCAAAGCTGGAGGACGGCTTTATAAGGAGCATTCGAAAGTAGGGATCAAGAAATTTTTAGGCACCATGCTAAGCGTAAGTCACCGAAAAGACAGGCAAAGATAGAGGTACAACTTTTCAAAGCTTATAGCTCCAGTGGGCTTTTTTATAATGTAAATTCCCATGATTGCACCTATTATAGACATTGTAACAAATTTAAACCGTCCATTTTGTGTCATGAGAATATCTATACTTGTCGATGCATGGTAATAAAAAAATATTTCATATGGTAAACAGACAGACCTTCACAGGCCATAGTCATTGGGTCTCGTCTGAATCCTGGGTCACATTTTGTGTGTTTCACACATTGATAGCTACCATATGTGTTTTTACAGTCCTCGTCTGGAGCACATACTCCTGGGTTATCGGAACATTCATCAAGGTCTGTAAAAGTTCAAACAAACATCAAGTCTACGTAATGTTTAATCTGTCAGGATAAGCTAGCATGGAAACATCTTTCTATAACGTTAAGTAACTCTTAGACTTATAGCCTAGAAAAGATGCTTTGAATGAAAAAATCTACATATATCAATCAGACACGTCGTTTCGTCAAAGATAGGTATTTTATTTACAAGTTACTTAAACTGTCATTCATAACCCATACATCATTAAAAACAAAGGAAGTTGAAAAATGGTTTTACTTTGGAAATCAAGTCATTAAACTGTTTTTAGAGAAATAGCAAAAATATAATTGTTATCATCATTTATAAATAATTATTCCCTGATAGCATTTAACGCTAAATCGTCATCAAAAATATCAACAATTAATGATTTTTACTAGAATGACCAGTGTTAGTTTGCCTTCAGACATTATTCCAATTACAGGGTTAAACGGCTGTCTTTTCAATTAAGTCAACTAATTAATTATTTCAATTATCGCAGATGCATAAAATATCATCCATTCGCATTTCAAAACCAAGAAGGATTGAAGATACAAATACGACGCAGCGTAACTATCTGCCAGTCTATTCTTGTCAATTAAAGGTTGGCTTGGTTTTTGCAAAGGATTTCTTGCATACGAATAATATTCAAATATAAAACATTTGAACATTTTTTCCTGACCCAATCAAGAAATAATAGAAGGGTCCCACCTATGCATGTCCCATTGTTTGCTCGCACGAATCCAGCATCAGAGCAAGGGACCCACATACATTCATATGAGCCAATTGTGTTCACACAGGTCTGCAAGACCGGGCAAATGCCATCCTTCTCGCATTCATCGATGTCTGTTTGAAATATCAAGATATTTATATCATAGTATATAGCTACATACAACGTCTAGACTTGATACTCTCAAACTACTTTGTCGTAACACAAAGTTTCTTTTGGATACATATTAAGTTTGCACTACCTCTATTTGCATAATCGTTTCTATTGAGTATGTTTATTAAAGAATTGAGCCCGTTCAATTGATTAAAACTCAATCTATTACAAGTCAATTCAATTTTCCAATCAATTCAATTTTCAATTTAACTAGTTTCCAATTAAAATCAATTTTCAATTCAAATCAATTTTAAATTCAATTTTCAATTCAATTCAATTTTATTTGTATTCTAGAGAAGACAAATACTACATAAATACTGTAGTATACACGACCCAAGAAAAAGTATGTACTCAATTTTTACAAAGACCAACCTTCACATTCTCGAGTCTTCTCGTCTCTTGCAAAACCCCGAGAGCATTGTTTCTCTTTACAAACATAGCCACCCCTGGTATTGATGCATAGCTCATGGTTTTTACAGTTATGAAAGCTCTGACGACACTCATTTATATCTGCAATAAAACTAGCTTGTTAATAGGGAAAAAACAGTGGCGTGGAATGGTAAAGTTTAAATAACAATGTCGGAAAAATTCAGAACATTACCAAACAACATTTACGTGCTGCAAATTTCAAAGGTGACACGAAAAGGGAAGGCTACATCATACTGGCGTAGATCACAACATAATTGTTTCCGATTATAATCTTAAAGTAATCCTTTGCTGATGAAACGTCGGACTCGGATGATATAAAAATTTTATATTAAACTATAGAGATACCAGCTTATTGAAAATATGATAAAGAATTGACGATCGTTCTGTGAGACTGAAATTTTGCAAATATCACTAACCATTCTATTTCCTTAGATCCTTTTAAAATCTTATACTTAGAATTTTTTGCACAAGTTTTTGAAAAAAGGATACTTTTGCAATATCATTCAACAATTGATATTTTGAAAGGTTATCAAGCGAAAAAATCATTTGTAAGACTAGAGAGAACGAATTAAAAGTAACTTTATAAAAGTTTAAGAATATTGTATTCAATCCTATCTACATAACCTTGTTCTCAGTACACAGCAGGTGAAAAAGGAGAAAATTCTGAAATGTTTATAAGTCAATGCGGCCTAACCTTGACAACTAACACCATCTCTGGAAAGGAAGAATCCCTTGTTGCAACTACAGTGATAACTTCCATTTGTGTTAATGCAAAGTTGTTCGCATTGTGTGGACACTAAGCACTCATTCACGTCTGCAGTTGGAAGGGAAATATTAAATAAATTCTTAGTAGAGATCTAGGAAAAATAGTTTAATCATATTAGCAGCAATTGATGCAGATAGAAAGGGGAATGATGATGATCAACATATGATATGATGATCAATCAAATTCTCAAACCCAAATTTAAAGGAAAACACATATTTCTAATATTGAATTAGACTTTCTCTACTAAAAATTTCAAAACTTTTCAGATAGAGCTTCTGTATGATTGCAAGGCACAAAGAAATTATATCATCAATTATTATGCAATCAGTATCGAGTTAGATAACTTTGGTAAATACACACACTGAGACCAACGAGACACCGCTTCCCATTATTTGGCTAATGGCAAAAAGAAAATTTTTTTCCTCAAGACTTCTCAAGAGGTTGTATTCTACCAATTTTGGCAACCATAGTACTATGACTGCAAATTGTTAATGAATCTTAAATATGTCATCGCTCTTACAAAAATAGTTTAAAAAGGAAGAAATAGCAAATATCGACATACCCGCGCAGAACCTGTCGTCTTTCAAAAATCCGTCTGGGCATTTATCTGTCCCTGTACCGGCACAAAAATCATTTCTTTAAAAAATAACTTTCAGTATTGAATATTGTAAAAAAATTGATAATTTTCACAACAATGACCTTTTGAAAATCAAGCTTGAAGATGGCACGAAATAGCGGAAATATAGCAAACTTAAATACCTTTCGTCCGACACTCTTCAGAGTATATCGAAAGTATCCACATCTAGATATAAATTTTCAGCTTACTTTCGGTCATTATACGAAGTTTATACTCTGAAGTGTGTCGGACAAAAATTACTTATATATGCTATGTTTCTGCTATTTCATGCCATCTTCACATTTTGCAGTACCAAAAAGCTATTTTAGAATAAAGCAAAAACATGATAACAGTTCAGGTTAAAAAGCATACCTTCGAGGTAGGACGCAGTGACCTCGTGGCGTAAAGACATTTCATCTTCATTGAGAACCAGTTTATCCGGACGCACGTTGTACGTCTGGGCAGGGAAATTTAAAGTATAATCAGATGCGTATGTTATTGTATGTTCTAGGCTGTATTTCGTTGAAGATTCCCCAATGAGAATGTATCGCTCAGAGTAGCCGTAAATTGAATTTGGAGATGTTTGCAAAAATCTATAAGAACAGGCAATCGCATTACTAGGAGTCGTATTGTAAAACCATCAATTAATTTTTACTTATTAAACAAGGCAACAAGTTATATTTTAGAATATTAGGTGGCCAATTAAACCAGAGAAAATATTTTTAGAAGAAAAAGGTATATATTTAAAGATAAACTATGGATTTTTCTAAGGTGTTATAAAATTCCCCGCTGCAAGAAAAAGTATAGGGTCCTTTTGTATGCCATGACATCATTAAAATACGGAGCGATGGCAAACACACATCCCCTAATCGAAATGGTGAAGCAACTCATTGTGGATATAAACACTTGATCTGCCGGGGGATCAAAAAATGCTGGATACTGGTTACACAAAAGACAGAAATTATGACTTGTAAGGGTCACTGACAAGCAAGTGAACAATTTTGACAAGAAGTGGAATAAGAATTGGTACTAGTCGGGCACATTGGTGATAATTAAATCACAATAAAATCAATTGATTAGCCTGTGATCTGTTGAAACAGAGCATTAATTAATTAGTTTAACAAAGCAAATTAACATGAAACAGTTAATTGGGGGTTGAATCTATTGTTCCAAGAATCAGAATGTTCTCTGGTCTTGTTACAAAGCTACTTGTGGTAACAGCAGGGTTGAGTTCATTTACATCAGGTTCTTATTGAAAAAGTGTACTTTGATGACAAACTTGCTCAGGATATCTGAACACTTAAATTGTTGAGGTATTTTATAGGTGGACACACACTACTACAATTGGATCTGAAATCAATAAACAAAGTTGCGAGAGTAAAAAGCCAATATTATGAGGTACAAGAAACACTCACACTTCGTTGTAATTCTGCGGTGAGAAACCCTTACGTGGAAAGTGTTGTACATCCCCAGATAAGCTAGTCTCCATCATCAATGATTTGCTCCCTGGGATCGCCGAAACCAAGCATGTTGTCACCAAGATTTGCACATCGTTATACTTAATCTGTGTGAAAAAAAGCACTACGTTAAAACAACACACTCAACTTGAAGGCTAGACTAAACAATGGTCAGTTATCTTTAGATGTACACCTCATTACTAACAACAGCATTGGTAAGAAGAAAACTCGGCGTAGAGATTATTTGCACTAGTTTGTTGGAGCGTGTCCAATTTATCTATTCATCATTGATAGAGAAAAAGTCTGTTTGATTTTGTTTTCTGCGAGTTTGGTCTTTGTGCTGACACTTCACTCGATTTCTTACAACACAGCAGTTTTTGAAAATATCTATAATTCTCTGACTCAGAAATCTGTGATTCGCTCCTTAAAATTACAGCATAATCGCAGAAGATTACTTTCTCATAAAAAATATTCTTAAATCGGCTCAAAGTTTCTAGCAAAGCGAGTTTTTCACACTATTTGACAAACTTCCCTGGTGGACGAAAAAAATTTACTCAAAGAGCACGACATAATAATGTACTTGTTTTTATTAAAAACACTCTTAAACAAAAAAAGTAAGAGTTGCAGCGTTATAAAGACATCGAAAATGGAATAACAGTTCACAAAATTGACGTGTTTCTTAAGGATAACAGTATAACATTCAAAATGACTGTATAGGTCAAAAGAATCAACGGAGAGAAGTCAATGAGCCTTGTCTTCCTGTTAAATCAGAAAAGGACTCATGGTAGACATTTATGGGCGTCAGTACGTAAGAAAAATTAGCTGTTTAGGATTTATACTAAGCAAATGAGATTTTGCTTGAAAACAAATGACAAATAGTAATTTTAACCTATTAATATAGAAAATCCCTACATTTGACGTCTGAATTAAGACTTAATGACTTGTCTGACTGACATATGGGATTGCGATTTTGAGTAATAGAATCTATTGGGTACGTTATCAATCCAATTTCTTATCCAGAATCAAAACTAGCTGAGCTTAGGCTGCTTCTACGTAGAAATGAAATGATGCTGTTGACTGAGATGTTCATGTCAGTTGATTAACGACCCTTTGGTATTATATAGTCTGGCAAACTAAATTTGCTCCAACAATGTCTCATATGAATGACTTTCAAACATAAAAACGAAATAACCACAATCATAGGATCGTGTTCATAACGCAAAGTCGCATTTTGTTTAGTTCATAAGGGAATGGCGCATTAATAATTTGGTTTACGTAATATTTTCATCTACCGATCCAATGGCTGCAATGTGTGTCCACGCAGAATTGAAAGCAGTTTTTTAGCAAATGCCAAACAGTAGGCAATAACGCCTATACATTGAACAATTTTGGGTATAAAAGATGACGTGGTAGTTATAAGGAAATGTGTATATAACTGAATATATGATAAAATTCCGGTGTCAGTGTCAATGTGACAAGTGACAAAAGGAGGTTTGAGGTGCCCCTTCCGTCCGATAGCTTACAGGTCACCCTTGGGCCGGGTGTAGCACCTGTCAAGCACCCATACTAGGGTAATCGTGAAAACGTCGGCAGCAGGGCCTTCGATAACCAGAATGGCGGAAGAGTCTCTTGTAGATCAACGGCTTGAAGGTTGCGGCAGCTAGGCGGATGATCCATATTCGGACAACGGTTAGGTGCTCACAAAACAAGTTAGCTGTCACTGCGTGGAGGAAGGTAATGGCAACCCACGTCTAGTAGCCTGCCTAGTATATTCATGAAATGTCTACAAGCAAGACGTCTGAAAGATAATTCATAAACGCCTAAGGCATGAAATGCTATGGTATTCGAAGAAGAAGAAGAAGAAGAAGAAGAGGATATGATGAAAAGATATATCCTGTTTTTAAATCATCTGAGAATAGTTAGAAAAATGAGACTTTCTGTCTTTTATTGCGCTGAAGAGCTTATTTCCTCAATATCTTAACATTTTCTAATCGTCTGTACATTTCAGAACTTCAAAGATCTTTGATATTGAGATTTAAATGAAAGGCTGTGTTATAGCATAAAACCAATTATAGCAAAACAGAACCTGCTAAAACATTATTTTCAACTTGCTGGCTCATATCTTTGAAATTGACTTTGAAATATAACACAAAAAGGTTCTGGAATCTGATTTTGATTTCATAATCTCTACAAACGTGCTAGCTAGGCTAACGTTTAATACTAAAAAATCATGCTTAACTGTAAAACACTATTGACATTAAAATGTCGGCATATTTCTGTGTCATGGTCAACATATCCTAGCTATAATCGTGATATCCTTTTCATTAAGAAGTGGTCCAGTCAATAAAATGAGACATGGTAAGACGATTTAATTGCCAAGGTTATGATGTCAGAACATGTAGGTTAAGAAGCAGGGTTAATAAAGAATGAATTATTCGATTCATGGAGAAGTAAGTCCTTATAATCACCTTAGTACGCCAGAAAGAAGAATGGGAAAAGTAATTATTGACTAGATAAAGTTTTGACAATGTTCAAAGGCAAATATACGAAAAACCCTGGGAAGTTTAAATCTCTCTTGGTGTGGATCTCTGGTAACTACTTCCTTTCACGCCTCCACAATCCAGTGAGAATTTAAACAAGGTTTTTCGATAATGTCTCTTCCAATTAAAAAAATTTCTGCGGCATACCTCGCTAACCAAAGAGACAGTAACTTCCTGTCTGTGCCTGGTTTTTACCGCATAAAAGTTTTTAACAGCCACATTCTTGGAAAGTTAGAGGACTGCTAAGTCTCCCATAAAACAACTGCTAGTTAATTATACTGGGTGTGAATTTTCGCTATTGGCCCTAGATCGAAGGTCAATGGCTTCCCTGGAATCTTCAGGGTAATTCGGCCAAAACCTATATAACATTGACCTATAAGAAATCAAATAGCATGTTCGGATATTCCTGGCTTTTTTAAGTCATTGGTGAGCGATCCGTCTTATTTGAACATAGTATACTTGGTGATATAGTTTGAGCCTTGGTACTATAGTTTGAGCTTATGCTGGAAATTAACAAGAATGGGTATTATTAACCAAGGCAGCATAAAAAAGTGGCATAGATCATTTCTGAAATATACAAGGACAACCAACGCATTGGCTCGCTTCGTAAAATCAATTCCAGCTGACACTGTTTTATAGTTCGACAAACTCTAACCTTTGCCAGTTTTGCTACTTGATCAGTGGTTAAAATTCAATTGAATTCTTATAAATCCTTCATTTGAATGAATGAATGAATAAGTGAATGAATAAGTGAATGAATGAATGAATGAATGAATGAATGAATGAATGAATGAATGAATGAATGAATGAATGAATGAATGAATGAATGAATGAATGAATGAATCATAGCAGTGAATTTGGCACCGCTTAACAAAGTACTAGCAATGTCGTTGTAGCACACGCAAAGGAGAGTGGCTAATTTTTGGCGCTTCTTTCTTTCTAAGCTGCAATAAACAACAAAGTGTTAAAAAACTTTTTAACGTATGCCAGTCTAGAATGTAAGGCAGTTGCTCATAAGATCTCGTAGGTTCAAAACGCTCGTAGATCTAATTTAGGCCTAATATAAATCGCATTGCCTGGCTAGACTTAAAAGCGAGGTAGCTAAAAGAGAAGTCAGATGTGATACCTTTCCAGTGTACGTGAACTTCCCGGCTGCAATCGATATTCCATTGAAGCCATCTCTGCCTTGATTCACGACAGACCAGTAAACTGGTACCATAAACGAGACTACTGATCTCATGATGTAAAGCAACGGCTTGGGAATGCCCTTGACATCGAGACTGATTTTCACAAACTGATTGACATAGCTTATATCAGCCATCAAAGCTATTGAACCAATATCTTGCCTGTTCACCGTACCAGACACACTGCCTATAACTTCGGTTATCCCGAGAATACCTGAAACGATAACACGTTGCTTATAAATCTAATGAAACGATATAACAGATGGCAAGCCATGTCACTAGGAATTTCAACTGTCCCCAGCAATTAATACCAATACACAACAGGCATGATTTTCGTAACTTGTATTTGCATAAATAGAATTTGCATAAACAGCAGTCCCGCCCTTGTTTTGAAAAATATTTAAGGTCTGGTGTTCAGCTTACAGCTTTCAAATTCATTGTGGCAGATCTTATACCAGATATTCTATTGGGTTGTACTAAAAACGAATGAAAGTTACCTGTTGTAAAATTTGTTTGTAGCGTTGTGATATCTGATTAGTTAATAATGTTCCTACCGTATTAACCAAACAGAGTCTTTAAACACAACCTACATGTCAATATCTTCACTACCTTATGAAAAAGAGATATACAAAACGCAAATACTTTATACCAACAATAGCACCCTTGGGATGTTCCTAAAGGGTCTACCAATAATTAACATTCAACCAACACCGAAGAGCCTGGAATAGTCTTATCTATAAATTTACTGTCCCTGTCTGGAGGTCTCTGACCCAAGCAACCGCGGCTGGAATCAATGCCCTGACTAGAGAGAGTGGATTGATCTTTCAGATTCAAGACGTGTGTCTCGTGAGGCTTGTCACAACCAGAGAACTGCCTGTCAAGCATACGTTTTCGTTGACCTTAAATATACGCATAGGAACGTAGTTGCAGCAAAAAATAAACACGAAGTTGTAACAAAAAGCAAGCAGGGAATGCGTACTTTCAAATGCCTAAAATCCAAGAAAGTTATCTTCAATGGGAAGCTTCATTGAAACGTGTTTTCAAAAGCGATTGAAACGCACTTAGCTGAGAAAATTGTGCCTTTTTTGAATGAAAAATTTACTCATTTTGCCGTACGATAAAAAGCATTAACAACGTAAAATTTCTGTCCAAAAAACAAAAACAGATTTAGAGGCAACCTATTGAATACTGAGGCTAAATAGCTTTAAAAGTACTTGTGTCTGTTGATAAGCTGTAACTTACTTTAGGAGTGATTTTTAGTTTTAAAAGAACTTAACCAAACCGAATCTAACAAAAAAACTCATTTTGCGTAACCTATAGTACAGAATTTATTACATTAAGGTTTTTACTATTCTATTATAATTCATACTACGTTTTGATATCATCAAAATAGTTACAGTAAGCCATGCACTTAATCGAATTTGGCTGCTGAACTTTCAAACTACCTGCTGTTATTTTCAACTTTGTCATAATCTATGCCTTACAATTTGTTTATTCTATCTTTTTTAACTTGTGATACTTTCGATACTTAGTCACAATATCCCAACTTATAATGCCAAGAGTACTAGCTCAACGAGGAAATTGGCTCAATGAAGAAACAGGCTACATTCGATGCAGCAAAGGATACTGCGCGTGCCAGTACACAAATAGGACAGTCTATTTGGAATCTAAAAATCTGTATTTAAAAGAACTAGATTAAAGTTTGATTTATCAATCCCTGGCCCTGTAGCAAGTAATTTACTTTAAAAATGCACTGCACACTAATGCTAGATAATGCTAACATTACTGAGATAATCTTCAAAGGATTGTGAATAAATTGAGTGAAAGGCTTTGAAGCAATACCTCCACATCTGAATCTGTTGCAAAGTCGATGTTCAAACTGCATTCCATGTGGACAATCCCTGGTTCCTGCTGAGCATGGTCTTATTCGCGACTGCCTTCCACCTTCGCAGGACTGAGAGCATCTGCCCCAGGAAGACCAAGAAGCAAGCGTTGACTTCACTTGTAGATAACAAAAAAAATAAAAGTTTAATGATATCTATATATGATACGTATATATGATTTTTAATCAGTGCGTAGCTATGAAAAAGTGATCAATTCTAGATTTGATAAATTGTTACTTCACTGCATTCCATTTTGCGTTCTCCTACCAAGCAATGAGGTTCTAACAACACGAGATTCAACGATTACGCCAAAAAACGTTAAAACTCTACTGAATCGAAAATTTCTCACTAAAGCACTAAATAAATGCTTAAAATAACATAACAAATTTTCAAATAAAAATGAATTATATCATATATGAAAAATCTGAGTGAGTTATGATTTCCAAAGGAAAAGGCATCTTTAGGCACAACATTTAACAAACAAAATGCGACCGCGCATACCTTTTTCACTTGCTTTTGTTATTTCGCAACATAAACGAGAGATAAAGGGAATTTATATAGAAGGCATAAATAAGAGAAATTACCACATGGATTCTGATTGCATGCTCTTTGTTGCACATAATATCCCTCACATTTATCACCACCGTTCTGTGGTGAAGGGTTGTTGCAATACCGGTTCCTCAACTGTTTGCCTTCCCCACAACTCTTACTGCATGGTCCCCAGTCAGACCATTGGCTGAATCCTCCATTCACTGCAAAAAAGACAACGTTTCAAATTCTAAGAACAAGGATGCCTTTAAACTCTCTTACAAATATTTAGATCTGCCAGCTTCAAAAATTCGTATAAAAACTAAATAAATGCCTGTTAATCATATATTCAAGGTTTGTGGCAAATTCTGCATTATTTGACTGATGTAAATTTAGGAATTTAATGATACGGATTTAGAAACAACGTCGACGTAAATTGCCTATTTTCTAACAGCCGCGGGGACTCGACTGAAACACCAAACTTATCTTTGAATTGAAGCAATTTTGTGGACAGGAGAGACAATGCATTGGAGTCCTGGCAGGCTTAGCTGGAGTAAATATCTATTACTTGGCAAACACAGGCAGGCAAATTTGAATACAAGGAAAAAGTATTGTCACGTTAGAAAAGACCGTGTTGCCTGAGTTAGGCCTTCTAATTTAACTGTGGTTGATATCTGACTGGATCAGGTTCCTTTCTACTTTGTACAAGATATCTAGTCTAATTAGTATTATGGAAATATTTGCATAACGGACCTGGACTTAATAAAGAGGAAATGAAAAAAGTCACTGAACCTCTAAAAATATATTAAATCAAAAGCCGTTAAGCTAGCATGATATTTTCACGTCATATGCCCTGATTTCGTGAAAAAGGACAGACTGACTTTTCTTACGCGAGGTTTGAAGGATTTGTAGTAGATGGCATGAGTTAAGAATCTACTGACTACGAAACCAGAAACCTTTGACGAGAAATCAATTCTTCTGTAGCTAAGACTCGCATCATCAAGTTCCAAAAGATTTTAGATAGCATGATGCTGAACGAAAATGGAAATATTTTCAGCTTTTTGTAGTTGTACTACTGCGCCGGCTTTCTCGAGACTTTTATGTATTATTCAAAGCATGAAAATCGATGTCACAGCCTGGCTTTGGGATGAAGCTATTCTATTAAGGCTTGATAGTTTTGGCTGAGACTATCATTATTTTTCATAAGCAGATTATACTCCATTTAAAACAATAAAATATACGCCGTAAACTCTCAAGTAAGATCTAACTCGGCGTTGTCTGTAGTTTCACATTAGGTGAGCACAGTTGTCTTTACCAAATGTCAAAATATTATCTAAATAACTAACCAACGACGGTAACAATGAAATCTTTCATGATTTTCCCCCTTTCGTTCTCGGCAACGCAGGCGTAGAAGCCACCGTCCTCAAGGCGTGCATTGTTGATTACCAAGCTGTTATTAGGCAAAATATACAGAGGTGTGTCCATTGCTACTCCGCTTCTTTGCCAGGTTACCACTGGTGTAGGGTTGCCACTGGCAATGCAGCTGAATAATTGTGAAACTCCTGCTTTGATTCTTGTGTCCTCCGGTAGAACCACGAATCGCAGGATATCTATAAAGGCATTGGTTTACGTTAAACTAAAAAAGGGGGAATTATATAGACTTTATCTTTAATACCACAAATAGCAGACTTTGGCAGGTTTAAAAATCTTCGAAAAAATTATCGGCACCAATTGCCAAACAAAAAACTCCACCCTTGGATTGTGCTACATCAGCAGAGAGAAATTCTGATCAGATTGCTTACATTAGGAAGCCAAGTCTATGTAATGAAACAAAAGTAGAAATCAAGAAAAGGCTATTCGAGCATCTTCATGGATCAAGTTCATGGCTACCTTCTTCGATTTTCTGATGGGGCATTTGCAGATTGAAGAGTCATCAACTGAGATGTAAAATAACATAAAGCTAGGCTGGTTTCAAATAAAAGACCGATGTAAATAGTTATAATAATCAGTGGGATAGTTTTTCTGATACAAAATTACATCAATATGGGTAGTTTTAATTTGACTTGAAAAGGCCACATTTTTGATACATAAAAAGCTACAAGCAAAAATGATTTATGGGAACCAAATTTGTTTAGAACAGCACCTACCGATTTCTCTTGTCTGCAACGGCCTGTTCAAGGGAAGGGTCCCTGCTAACTCATACGAGCTTACACCGACGACGTTGAAATCTAAGAATGGAAAACAAAGCAGTGGTGTTGTAAGAAGCTAGAAAAGGATACCATAATTTATCACAAATTGAAGCATAATGTCAAACTTCATCAGAATGCAGCAATATCAAACTAAAATTAAACAGAAGGACGGAAGGACGGAAGGACGGAAGGACGGAAGGACGGAAGGACGGAAGGACGGAAGGACGGAAGGACGGAAGGACGGAAGGACGGTAGGAAGGAAGAACGAACAACAAACTGTAAAATTTTATAAAATTATTGACAGTTAGATCATCGCAACTTGGGTCATCAAGGATAACTACGAAAGAATCAATTTTTTCTAAAATCAAGAAAAGATCGAATTATCAGGAAATCCTATGGTCAGAGTTTGACTCTATGGAGAAGCAAGAAGTGAAAATAGTGATTGAATGATTTGTTGATTGAAGTGATGTATATATAGAAAGAAAAACCTTTGACAAGAACAGTCGTTTCAGCAGTGATTTTGCCACCTTCGTTTCTCACAATACATTTGTAGGTTCCATTACTCGTTTTGTTAACTTCCTTGATCACCAAGATATCTTCTTTCAAATCTAGTAACTTCCCGTTATGTTTCCAAGAAATGCGAGGCCTTGGAATACCGGATGCAAAACACTCTAGTCGTAGCTCTTCGCCTTCAAACAATTCGTACTGTTCACCTGGCTTCAACGTCCACGTCGGCGGGACTGTGAAAGGAAAAACGGTACTGAAGTTTTGCTTTGAAATTTGTCACATTTTAACAAATCACCCTCACAGCACTTTTTTCTGCAATAATTTTACAATCTTGTCTGTGGGAAGATTTATGCCAAATAATCAGAGTTTATAACAATTAAGTTGAGCAAACCGCAAATTTTCTTCACATGAACTTGTTTCTACTTTATCATATTGGCTATAGCAGGGAATGTTCGACAAACTGCGGGAAGAATGGAATAAAATCTCTCCACTCCCAAACACACACACGCACACACATGCACCCACATATAAACTGATTAAGAACGTTTTTCAGCGCCTCAATATTGATTTCATGAACAGCACGCTGACATACAGAAAATAAAAAGGGCTTCGGGGTGTTGCGAAAACTTCTGGTCAACGTTTTACTAAGGGTAACAAAGGTTTAACAGCTGCCATATATCTCAGTACAAACTGTAATAGTAGAACAACTCATAGAGGTATGAAGAATTTGTCACCAGAAAAAAGAATAATACAAAAATACGAAAGGAAGAAAATACGCGAAATGGAGGAATAAGCTTGGGAAAACACGGATGTGAATTGCATGGCAAATGTACTAATAAAGTTTTATCTTGACTCTAGTTTTATAAGAATAACAGGATAAAAAGACTGCGCCTAACGAGATATAGTACAAGAGCTTTACAATCCAAAATAGAGCTGAATTGGAATCTTGAAGTTATTTAGCATTTGCACGGTTCAACTTTGTTTCGCATCTAGTAAAAAAGGATTCACCTTTTACGATCAGAACCTCGGCAACACAAAAACTAACGGTTACAAAAAGGCAATTGAAGGAAAGAAGTCTCCAATCGCAATCATCAAAGGAACAGCCATACATTTGCTGCGGACCGCCAACTAATGGATTATGCTAGTCCTTCTTTGGTCGTATGATTACGAACCTTAGCAGAAAGCTTTGATGAATTAGGTATTCATAGTGCAACAGTTTTGGCACAGACTTACAAAATATTCGAAAAAAATACTTCCATTGTTTCAAGCAAACTTTAAATTTTATTCATCTTAAAAATAGAAAATCTACTTTCTTCTGGTGCATCCCATTGTGGTTTAAGAGACATGATAAGTTTGTCAAAACAGAACTGGGAAATGAACTTCGTATCCGATTCTATGAAGTTGCCGATTTTACAACGAACCCTATGGGAGGTTAAAATCAGCCTGTAGGAGCCTTTCAGTTGAGCTTGTATAATGAAAACACCGAGTTAACTCCACCACATCCCGTACTCCATCGACCAGCTCCATTGCCAACTAAATCCTCCTAAATCCAAAAAAGCCCCTCCCCTCCTCCAATAATTTTTTCTTTTATATAGGCACATTTTAAAAAACATCGATCCTTAACTTGCATTCTACACGCATTACATATAATCTCTTGAGCAAAACGTGGCAAAATAATCTGCGAGCAATCCCAAATTGCAATGGAATGCTAGCTTATTCTACGGGTGCCGCTTGAAATAGCTTAATTGTATTCACTTCTGCGTCTTTAGTATCAATAAGGAACCTGGGAGGTAGTATAGCTAAGTATGAAAACATCAAAACACTGTAATTATCATCATAAAACCTTGGCAAACATCACAAAGAGTCACATTATAAATCTGGACAAATAACTACGACAAGGGATTACGAAAACCAGAAATAAACGACCATAACTTGTCATCATCTTTAGATTTTGTTAAATATTCGACTTTGTCGATTGGAATTTCGTACCCTACATTACGAGCGACGAAATGAGGAAGTGCTAGAAGATTATATGAACTAACTAAAGGTATAACTGATTTCATTGATGCTGAGGGGCAACCCAATGCTTGTGTAATTTGAAAATTGAATCTTTAATAAAGGTGGCACTCTAATGTAAGGGAGGATTGCACTCTATGTGATAACAAATTGAATTAAGCAAGTTATATAGAAAATTTATCTAAGGAAAGAATACTGTCTGTACAAATAAGTGAAAGCTGCAACGGTTCAAACTGACCAATTGCGATTGGCTTAATAATCTATACAAAAATTGTATCTTTATGATTACAAGTCTCAACAATTGGCTATAATCCCTAGCAAAAGTCTTGGAACTCTAACGTCAGTTTTCAAAAGCAATTTCAGCCAACCCCTTCTTCTTAGGGAACAATGTTAGTTTACTATAAAAATTGAGGAGATTTTAGAGAACCTCCTTTTTCGTTATGAGAATAATAATTATCTAGACTATCAACATTGTTCTTGGAGAAAAGGCCTGGAAGTAGTAGAATACCGGAATGAAATGAAAAGAGAATAATACAATGCAAATTGCTGGGTGCTCGAAGCAATTTTGGCAAGCATTGTACGTGGCTGCAGACCGAAGGCAGTCTATTTTAAAGTACAACAGTACAAAACGCTACATATTTGCAAAGCTTTACAGTTAAGAAGAATAGGATACTTACTTGTAACGATGAGTTTTCTATCTGCTCTTGTGCTCCCTACGTCATTGGAGGCCTTGCAGACGTACGTTGCTGAGTCTTCAGCAGTTACATTCTTTATCAACAGACTTCCGTTCGCAAGAATCTAGGCGATATTGTGATGATATTATAAATGATATTACTCTTGATATCATTGATAATATGACTGATGTTATTACGATGACATTACTGATGATAATATTACAATCCAACTTGTAATACTATTTTTCCTGAATTTATGCAAATCTAGTGGCAATGGAAATTCTGGTGGTTGCAATCTAAATTAAGAGGAGGCAATCAGCACGACCAAAAGATGGCAAAATACTACCGCCAAGAAAATAAAAAAATTTAGCTGTCGCGGTAAAGTATCGACCACAGATTTCATTAATGAGATTTTAGCATTGATGGAAGATGTAGTTGAAAAGCTGTTATTACAATTCGCGCCTTGTCCAAGGAGCCTGGTAACTTACTTTACGTTCAATAAGAGCAGTTTCACAGTATTATTTTCTAGATACCTTCTACCACAGAATAAAGACATGAGCCATTTCAAGCTTAATAAGGAAAAGCCAACCTTGTACGCTAATATACCAAAAGACACCTAAATGCAGACTAGAAACTACTTTCTGGGTATAGTTGGATTATCGTACAGCTCTAATAATTCGGAGGGTACCAAAATCATACCTGGTATGGAAAAATATTGCATAAAGGGTATTGTTTGCGAAAATAGCTATTAATGATAAATTGATAAATTTATACAAAACAAATAATATGTAAAAATCAGGGTACGAAGAAGACAAAAATTGAATGTTCGTTAAAGTATTCGTTTTAAACAAAAAGAATAAAACAAAACATGAATAGTACAGTGTTTCCTGATAAAGATCTCTTTCTCGGAAACAACTACAATAACGTTAGTAATAAAATCCTTTTTAAATACTATCATCCAAAATCTTTGGCCAAGATTGTCCATGAAATCACAACAAATAATCCCATAATTTGTAACTAAACTAATTTATGCTGGGCTGATTAAATTTCGGTTTAGCCTCTAAACCTGGCTCGATACAGGAATTTTTCACCCTTTGAGGTGTTAGCCGATACCGACAACACTTGTTTAACCAACAAACACCAACTGAAGAAAGGGAGAGACAGTAAATTGCCGAAATTTCAAACAGCATTCCTATTTCCATCATTTAATGGAGATTTTCAGAATGATTTTGGAAAATAAACGATTGCTCTGTATAATTGAATTACCTGAAAACGATCATTGGTTAAATCGAAATTTCCACCACGTCGAACCCATTTGAATTTTGGCTGTGTTTTGCCAGTCACTTCACATGGCAGGATAATGTCGCTGTTAATTTTGGCATAAATCAAAGGTTCCTTCAGGCTTCTGATTTTGGGCTTTTCTAGGCAGAATAACACACAACATATAAATAATGAAATACAAATCGATGACAATAGAGGATTATGTAATGTAATTATTGCGATATTGAAGATACCGAAGTTTACATTGAAAAGAGAAGATGAAAGCGGTCAAGGGAGACAAATTTTGCCATCAATAAGATAGGCTGATAGATGGAGCTAAATTTCGTAGATACTCACAGTAAATCAACTCCACTGCTAGTAAATACTCATAGTAAATCAAATCAATACAGGTAGAACTGAATCATAGACATAATTAGTTATGCCTAATAATAGGTACTTTAAACAACGGAATGATTAGGATCACATTAAGTCCTCGTTACCAAGCAGGATGGAGAAACGGGAACCCTTTCAGAGCAAACACAATCACTTAGATCGACTTAGATCGATAGCAGACAACCCACGATAAAGCCCAAGCAGAATACAACAGTAACTTAATCAAATGCTTCTACCAATACCTAATCAAATAACTGGAATCACACGGTAATACCAAACATAAAAATAACCAAAAAACCTTTCTTTTTAGCTACAAATTTGCAAATATTTGCCAGTAAATATTGGTACAACAAAAGTGATATGACATCAAGAAAACTGGTTTGCATTCCATACATTCTTAAATATCTTTTCAGCCAGACTGGCTCCAAAAAGTAGCGACCAGAAAATGGTTCGACAAAAAGTCTGCATTCCAAAGAAATGCGTTAACAGAATGTTTGGATTTTCTGGTGAAATTAAGGATTAAATGGGGATTATCTCTAGGCTTGCTGGATAAAGAGTTCCTTAAGCAAAATGTTTCAAACCATAAGGATAATAATTAAATACTTCAACTCGCGTAGAAAAGTTCTATTATATTCTTATGAGAATTTCAAAAATTTTTGTCATGTTTATTGCAACAAAACAGATTTATTTTGAAATCCGGCGCTAAACACCAGTAGAAATATAAACACAAAAATCAAATAATATCTTTTGGCAGCAATGCAAAAGAAAAGGAATTTAATTCATATAAACACATCTAACGTAAACTTTGTTTTTTCAAATTTAACAAAGTAATCGATTGATAAGTATCGCACGTTATCGTACATGACGTTTTTTTCATAGAAATTGATAGGCACTGAGGGCATGTTTCTAAAGACATTTGATACGGAACCGTGATAAAGGAAACTTAATAAAGGGGCAAATTAGAGAGCCCTTACTGCAGCATGTATGGGTAAAATCTTTTTCTCTCATTTAAGTAAGATGTATCTCCAATTGTTTTCACATTTCGTTACGCATGAATAAACAAGGAATTTAAAATGATGTGTCAAAACTTTTAATAGACTTCTAGGCATCATGAGGACAGAACTAAAGATACTGCAATCTGCCTACCTAAGCCTAAGATTTCCACATCGATTTGGGCCATCTCTGAGCCAAATTGGTTCTCTGCTTTGCACAAGTACTTTCCTGTGTACTTTTTCTTCATCGATGTGATCAGCAGTTTTCCAGAAGAAAGCCTGACCACACCACTGTTCTTTTCTATCTCTTTTCCATTACTGTCAATCCAATAAACATAAGGTTTAGGAATTCCTATCGCTGTGCATTCTAATGTAACGTTTGTATTTCTTTTTACTTCCACCCGTCTAACTCTCTCCTCTTTTATAGTTGGCTTGGCTGAAAAACAAAAGCGATCAACCATAATTTCAGTCGAGTTTTTATATCCAAAAAAATTAAAACGATGATCTCTTACTTCTTTTTGATGTTTCTATAATCTTGATAAACAAACAAAATAAGCCAAGAAAAATTAGACAAATAATAGTTAATTACGACTCAAATAGTTGCAATGAAAAATCATTTCTCCGGTCGTCCTCTTTAGCCAATCAAGACTCATACTTGATATATAGAAAGTTCACGAATGATTCAATTACTTCGCTAATAGATTCAATTTTTCCACTGCAATTTTTTTCTAGTATTAATTGATTACTTTGCTGAAATGATCTAAGTTTGTAAGCACGCTGTTTAAGATTTGACAAAAACAGACTGATGCATACTTCCTATCAAAATATGGGTGCTTGCAAAATCAAGCCCTTCAGAATTTTGTGCCACGCAAGAATAGCTTCCCGTGTCTTCAACTTTAGACTCCAGAATAAACAGGGACCTTTCAGATGTGACGATTCTTTTATTTGGTTTTATTGGCTCTCCATTCTTGTGCCAGTTAATTGACGGTTCAGGCTTGCCCTTCGCAGAGCATTTTAATGTGACAGGACTACCAGTGAGAGCAGATATGTCTTGGATTCGTATCTTCGCTTTTGGTGGAGCTGTAAGAGAAAGAAAACCATCAAACATCAATATTTGAAATAATCAAAAAACCTACTAAAAGAGGCAAAGAAAGCTGGAATATGTTTCTGTCTATCTAGATTATGTTTCTAGAGCTGTTTTCGTCCAAATAATGTATTGAACGATGATCAAAGGTGACTTTTACACTAAATTGCGGATATAAATAAGCAGAGAATCAATAAAAGCCTAATCTGGTTTTAGTTTTAAGCAGAAAATATGACAGTGCAAGAAGGGAGACCTCTAAAGAACAAAAGTAAACTAATTCAAAATAAAGTTGAAACTTATGGAAAGATTACAGGGCTTTGAGATTTATAATAAGTTGAATTAATCCCAGAAAAGGCGCAGCTTGACTACCGCGTGATATAACTATTTTAACGTTGTATGAAGCTTGTTAAAGGTAAATTTAAAACAATAAATGGGATTACATACATATATCAAGGTGATCAGGAACACAAAACATGGACGATCATGTCATCAATTAAAAACTAGCTTTCAATTAGCAAGGTATTCAGTTATGCTGCTCGTGCCTAATTTTGTTCTGCAAATAGCAGCATTCACCATATCACAAAACCTTTACAAAACCTAAATGACGCTGCTTACCTACAGGGACTAAATTATGTTACGTACTTAAACAATTGAGATGTTTTGCTGATTGATCAGATATTACCAATCATATTAATCCAAACATATATTTAACTTAAACAAACAGTTATAGAGGGCGCACTGTATAGCCTTGACTAGGTGCTGCTCTAGATTAGTCAAGGCTAGTGATAGGACCGTGCGTTAGGCAATGAGTGTTATTAAAAACCAATAACATCTCATGAATGTTAACAGTTCATTTTGCAGGGATATTTTTGAACCATATTGTGGTTAAGGATATATTTTTGTATCATTTCAATCTGTTACCGACACTAGCTTTGTGGTTCAGGCAGCTTACACACAGCCTCCAGCAGGATGACTGTACGGAATTATTCAGGTCACTCAAACTGGCTACCATTTCAAATTGCATGTCAAGGGCCTGAAAAAACGGTACAAATTTTGCTGAAATCACAAGACTAATTATGTGCGTCCAAAACTAGAGTCGTGAGATCCCAGTGAAATATGACTCGATAAGATCCTACAAAAAAAACATCATTAACTAAAATATAGGTTTTTCTATCTTAGCTAAACAGAGGCAATTTTAAACGCAGCAGAAGACTTTCATATGTGGTTAAGATATCAATGAGTTATTCAGCTCTCTTGCAAGATACCCGCCGATAGGTGTACCAATAGCAAATGGATGGGAGAGCAGACATGCTTTGCGTTTGAAAATTGCAATTATTTATATTTGGGCACTTTGTAACAAACATTAAAAGTCATTTCTAGGGTTCCAGAAGTAGCCAGTCACTAAATATTTAGGAAATAGTCCTTCGAAGCGTTTAAACTCTAGCTGCCCTCCATAAATTTCCCCTGTAAATGATATGAATCAATCCATTCCTTGGAGAGACACACAGTTATAAACATCCAGTTATTTAAGAATCCAAAGAGAGTGGTTTAATGCTAAAGCCTTTGGTATTTGTGAACATTACTGATGTCCTACACTAGGACAATGAAATAGTCTAGAATTATTTTCTAATACGATTTGAATGGAAATTCGTCGGCTCCTGTATAAGGGCTAATAAGAGAAGGCAACAGATTCCAATTAGAGATGACAGTAAATTATGATAGCATTATATGTATGGTTTTACGAAGCTGGATGAATGTTGGCAAGATTACAGATGGGTTTTGAGCGGCCATTCTTTGAATGTAAACCGTAATTACTAATCTGCTCTCACAAAACGAGTCTAGTATTTGCTTAAGCAAGTGATCTGACATAAGTAGCCACTAGATGCAGGCTAACAACTAAAACAGCTAAACAGCCTTTGGATTACCATGCGCTGCCAATCAGGAAAACAAACTATCAAAATAGGCCCTGTTGAACTATTCCTTGAACTATCAAAATAGTTGAACTATTTTTTCACATAAAGGTTTTTTGTATCAACCCCGCCTGGCCTCAAACCACCGGAATCTGAGCGGGAATATCTATCAACAAGAAAATGTTACCTCGCTGTCAACTGAGCATTGTAGAAAAAAATGCAATGAAAATTAATGCTACAATTTAACTTTGGAAAATAAAAATATGAAACAGGAACGAAAAATCATGTACACACAACGACCTGTAAGTCCACAGAAACAAGAACTTTGACACTGTAATTTGGGCCATCATTGATTAAATCTATCAGATCCAAAATGCAAACTTTATAATTAGATAATCAGATCCAGGAAAGAGGAAAAAGGTTTGGACAGTCCTGTTCTCTCTATGAAGTGCTACAAGGAATATCTGGGTTGACGAGAATTGCAATAGAAAATAATAACACGGAGTTAATTGTTTATAGAATAGGCATAAGACTCATGCAGTAACTTAACACTATCATTAGTATTTGTATTTTGTATTTGTTTTTGTTGCCACCTAGCACCCGAAGGTAGTTTTTAGGACACTGAGAAGCTATGCTTATCGAGCAGTGTCCTGGTCATTCCTCTCAATGTGACCACACCTCATGATTCCTACGCCTGGAATTACAGAGAGCTGGCGACTCTCCCCACTCTGGGTGAAAGTTTGGTCGTGCCAGGGACTCGAACAACAGGCCCTTGGGTCTGTAGTCAGCGCCTCTAACAACTGAGCCATCCTCGCATTCGGAAAACCAACTGCTAGTTTGAAGACAACAGTATGAAGATAGCAAGTTCAATTAATAAAAGTAATAAAATTTGGTTTACGTCACTTACTTCTATACTCAGCAAATGAGTAAGACCTAAGAACAACACCATTGCGAATGTGTGAGTAATTCGCCACACAAGCGTATTTCCCTTCATCCGTCACTTTTGCATCCGAAATGTAAAGCTGAGTAGGGGGATCTTGTTGAATACGAGGAATTTTCGGAAGATTTTTATCGTCCTTCAACCAAGTGATGTAGGGTGGTACTTGGCCAACAACATCACAAGCAAAGGCAAAGGATTCTCCTACTTTGAAGACTTGTATTTGTGGAAACACAGAGATTATAGGGTCCTCTACAAAAGAAAATAGTAAAACAATAATAAACAAATATGGTTTTCGATATTAAATGATGATAGCAATTTGCCTCTATACCACTTTCTTGGTGTTTGACATAAGTTCAATGCTTCCGCCTTTCTATGCCTTAGATATTTCAATCGAAACGAATTTTTAATCAATTCCAAAGCTGTGAAAATTTTCTTGGCGGTACAGAAGTTGAAAATGGCTTTGAATAAAGCAAACATTTTACAACATATTGGCTAAAAGCTTTTCGTCTGACACTCTTCAGAGCATAAAACTTCAGAATAAGGGTCCGTAAAAACACGATGAAAAATATATACCCGGTTGTGGATCGAAAAGGGCCAATCGGAAAAACGCAAGCACAACACCGGTTTAGTTGGCCAATCAGTGCCGCGAGCCTAAAGAAAAATCACCACTGGAGTCCAAGAGAGAAAACGAACTCCTTCTGTCAACAAAGTGGTGGCTTTTTCGTTTGTATGTAGATCGATTTCAAAACTGCTAGATGGAAGGACGACCGGGCTGTGCCAATTATCCGAAACATGTCGTCATTATAGAGTTTGGCACAATCTGGGTTATCTAAAAGATGTTGACCGATGGCAGAATCACTTGTTTTAACAGTGTTTCTAAGCCTACAAGATCGAGGAGGCTGTTCTCTTTGTGGGGCAGTTTTGTTTCTTAAGTTTAAGGAACATGTCGTTTTATCCTACCCCCCCTCCCCCTAATCTTTGGGTTGTGCGTCCTACGTAGTCAGAATCACACTGGCATGTAAATTCCAATATATGATTCCATTTTATGCTTCCACAGCTGAAACATATAAACAAGCTTAAATTTTGATTCATCTACTCGTTATAAATTCTTTTTACAGAATGCATAACAAGTAATAAAGAACCTTCTTATTCGGGTTAAAATAGGATTCCCGTTTTTGTGCCTCCCGTTTTTGTGCCTACCATTTAGTGGAACCAAACTCACCCAGAAGTACAAAGACATTACAAATCAATGATCTCGAGTTTGAAAAAAGTTGCATACAAATGAAGAAAAATGTTGTCATCGATTATGTCTTCAACACTCATCGACAAGCAATGAAACAAACAGCAATTGCTTGCTGTAAAAACTACTCATGTCTCGCATACTTACCATAAACCTTCAAATAAAATGAGTTGATTGATTGCCCGCCTCCATTGCTTGCTACACAGGAGTACCATCCACTATCCTCTACTCTGACGTTGGATATCGCCACTTGCAAGTCGGTTGTGACGACAAATCTACGGTCAGTTAGAATTTCTTTGTTGCCTCTGTACCATTTGATTTTGATTGGGACAGTGCTGAACGCAAGGCATTGAAGAAACACATTCTCTCCTAACAGAGCCGTTCTGTTACCATTCTCCTCAATGATAGGGGGAGGAACTAAAAGACGATTAAATAAAGAAAGTGAGCCTCAAGTCTTCGCAATTGAGAGTGCAAAGATTACATGTAATCGATACTGACAATAGCAAGAATATTCCTTCTTCGTTTATACCCTTCGGTATTTTGCTCATATTTTATCTAGTGCTGCAACATTTATGATTCTTATTATCATATCGTAGTCCTGTTGCAAAGCCTTCAAAGCGTGATACCTAAAATTCAATTCCATATATCAAGCTGGAGTATATCACGGCTTTCGTTAGAACAATTTCGGCTTTTGCCAATACTCTCTTTTAGCCACGAGGTCGTGTAAAATCAAGAAAAAAATGGACTGGAAACATTTTTGATGAAAATATCAAAATTTCAATGAATAATCTAAATTATTCTAAATAAGAATCTAAATGATATGTACTGAACTGTATGAGCTGAAGTGGAAACAGATTTTCCTAAAATTAAAGACAAACTAATAGAACCAATTATTAAAAGTTATAAATTTTAGTTTAGTTAAGTTATAGCTTTACAATACGGTGGTTCAAACATCTTTTGCTGGCTCAGATGATCACCGAGCAGGCCCGTTAACTATTAACTTTAGTCTTGTCAACAATGTGTTTTCACTGATTACTAGGACTTTCTACCTTATTCTTTGTACCCTACAGTTGCCTCACATATTTCAAACTAAGAACGGTTCTACATTATACACCAAAGCATGTACAGTTCTCCTTATAGGGCATTGAGCATTCTAAACCTGTAAAAAGCAATTTTCAAAACTTTTGCTCGTTAAACTTAACGTCTTAACGTCAGTTTCGAAATTGGAATAAACTTCAAAGCAATAAAGAGCAGAGGGATGTACTTACTGTTGAAACTAACAGTAGTTGTCTGGCTGCTCACACCAGCAATATTTCTAGCTGTGCATGTAAATTCGCTGCCAGCGCCAGAATTTACCCAAAGACTTGAATTTACATTCTTTACGTAGTTTGTTGGATTTGACAGTGGAGTATTACCATGACTCCATGTCACTGTGAACGGAACCGAGCTTTCGACGTAGCAATATAAAGCTAAATCCTGCCCCATGAATCCTCGATATTGCTTCTTCATTGTAATACGTGGCCTATCTATAAAAATATCATAAACAGAGAGCTTAAATGTGAGACAGAACTGATTTAAACAATACAGTTACAAGTGACAGCTACAAATTGAGAAGTTATAAGTACAAAATCTAGAGGCAGTATAGCTGATTTTTTGAAACTGATTTGCTTAGATGCAACCATTGTTGCTAATGTAGTTTTTCTATTTTCCTGTCCGAAAAAGGTTTCAGTATGTTTTGTCCAGCTCCTTTTGGGCTACTATGCTTTTGGAATCCTTTAACATACTTTTGCAGCAACAACACGACTTGGTAAGATTGATTTACAACCGCAAGACAACCGGACACTTTGAAATAAATCGGATATATTTACATAGAAGTGGATTGCAGTTTCATCCGACTGTAATAATACTTACAAAAGAAATTTCAAAAGCCTAACAGTATTGATGGATCACACAAAAATGATCCTTCTTGATGTCAAGCAAATCTATATGACATGTCACACAAGATATGTCTTAGAAATAAAGAAGGCTTTGTGGAAACGAGGCTGTTCTATTTGGTTTGAAAGTAAAAGATTCAAAACAGGCTTGTTGAGCCACGATTTATGTGTTCACTTGTCAAATCGGAGCAGTTAAAACGAAATTACTGAAAAATATATCTTCCCTCGAAATTATGTTTTGCTTTCTATCCATTTCAACTCTAGCAATTTCCACGTTAATTTTCCACACTATATCGATCTATCTATCTATTAAAATCATCTTATTTTGTATTGCGTACAAAAAACTCAAAACATTATAAGGAAGACTTGCAGTGACAAAACTAACATACTACGTTAAGGCTAGCAAAAAAAACGGTTTTAAAATAACAAACCTCTTAACAATCATTGCAAAAAGGCTTTATGAAAGCACCAAGCAAGAAACAGAAAGATTTACGATTTAATTAAAGCGAAGATTCAATAAATGGAAAATTTGTTTAGTTAGGAAAATCGCTACATGATACTTTTGACAAAAACATTTGAGTTTTAGTATTGAATTTCTTGGACCATTTCATTAATTGGTAAAACACTTGAGATATTATGACAATATTGAATATCAAGACAAAAAGATAGAAGGCAGTCCGATTATTCATCGGTCTGAATTTGATCAGACTCAATATCGATAGAAAAAGAGTTCATGAGAAATTTGGCATCGTAGAAGGAGCCTTATGTTGGCTTTATTTCATATTTGACAAGTTTGTTTGGTTATAGACACTGACTGTCAAAGACGGACAAAGCCTAAGAAGTGGCGAAACATAATTACCTGGTAGACTTGGGTCTACAACATTTGGCGATACGCGTGCAAAATCTCCTTCATCGTCTACACCAACGAACCGCAGAAGAAAAGGATCTCTTGGTGGAATGAACTTAACAACAAAACTGTCTTCGAGCAAGGAATCTAATGACACGGGCAGCGTCCTGATGACCTTTCCGTTTAGCGTAAGCAGGTCTACCTGGCTCAGTATTCCCAAATGAACCCTCTTTTTCTTGGATTTGAAGGAGACATAAAGGTAGTTAGTCGCATCTACGAAGAAAGATCAGATTCGCATTTTAATCGTAATAGCGCCTATCATAGCTTCTAATGCGTCGATGCAGTCGTATAGGAGTTGAAGACCATTTAAGAATTGGGATAAGACGAATAACCAAAGGTCCGGAATACGAGAGAAATTGCCTGGCCTAAGTGAATTCGGCTTTTACCTGGCCATTTACACAATAGATTCTAGAGTATTAAAGAGTGAATAATCTAAAATAACCTACCAAATTGATTGAATGAATGACCATATTGCTTAAAGAATTAGTCTGGGAAAAGACGAGAATGACTAGGAAAAACACAGCTGGCTTCAATGGGGCATTGTATGCATTGAGGAGTATCGATTTCAACAATGAAACGGTTGTGTGCGGGGTTACTAAATCCCAGTCGACACTGTCTCACTGGAAAGGCGAAAAACATGTTGATCTTCGGGACTTATTTCAACTCTTATACAAATACACCCTTTTACCGCTAGATCGTTATTTGACTATTAACTCGCAATTTAATACTTGAAGAAAGTAAATTTACGGAAATAGATGAACGGGTTAAGTGCCGAATTAGCTTGTTTATCGTGAGATTAAAACAAAAGCAAATACGCATCAAAAGGGATAAAATTACTTCCTGGCTACATACGAAAACATTCATTAACTTGATAGCGAAAACTCTTGGGTACTTGTTCTCACAGAATGTCGTAGGCAGGCACCGCGAAGCGTTGCGGAAAGTGAGGGGGGGTCTAGAAAAGTTCGGGGGCTGAAACCGGATTAAAAAAGGCTTTACTGGTGGTTCACTTCCTAATATATTGCACTTTTTGCCCACCCCAGCCCCCCTTGCTCTGCGGTGCCTGGTAATCATAACCAAACAACGTAATCTAACATAAAAAGAAGGCACAACAAAAGAGGAATGAGATGCAGCTAAGGCCCTGTAATTTTCACCGGTGACCATTGAAAATTTAGACTTCTTTCTAGGCAAGGAATCAAAAATTTTAGGAAGAGAAAAAACTGTGTTAGAAAAAAGAGATCAATCTTAATGCTAAAATGGAGCAAAATGCTCTGGTAAAAGCAGATACCAATGAAACGTGCCGTTTTTCCTAATGGAGTAATACTTGACTGCATCTTGCTTTTAAATCGAGTTCATCTTTAAGTCCTTATCCGATGATTTTAAAAATATTTCAATGCACAAAAATATTATTCTGTTCTCGCACAATAAATTTAGTTTTTTTAAACTTTGCTGAAGCAAACATTTAACTGGGTATATTCAAGAAATATAATAATTGTTTGATTGGGAAATGGTTCTAAACATTAGTGTCACAAAAAACATCAAACTAACATTAAACAAACATCAAACAAACATTTGAATGTTTCCTTTGTTAAATATCTCCGCCAAACAGAGCATCGGCAAAAAATAATACGGTCTTTTGCAATTGGAAGTGCTGTTCGAGGTCCAAATGTCAATTTGGAGTAATAGAAAGAATCTCAAACTCTATTTTAAAGATTTTAGAGAGAAATTCAGGTTTGCATAAAAGTGCGCTGTCAGTATTGAAAGACAAAGAAATACGAGAGACAGAGAAAAACTGCAGTGACTTTCGAAAAAGAAATGGTAGAATTATGTGGTGAAAGTGTTAAGAATTCTCAAGCTAAAATATTTGATTGCGTACCCAGAGAGTTGAAAACAAACGTGATTATGATGAATGTTGAATTTTGTATATCTTAATAGAATCCATATTGGAATCTAACTCTTGGCCTCCAGCCGCAGATGCCCAGAACGGTGAAAGCAGCGAAAGGAAAGTGTAATTGAGAGCTGATTTGCCAGAGATAGCACAGCGTTAAGCAGCTATGACGTAGGTACTTAAAAACTTCTACGTTATAAGCAGAAAATATAGCGTGCTAGATACAATCAGAACTGTGTCAGAAGTAAATAAAAAAAAGACATTGTATCGCCTGCCTTGTGAAAAGCAGCTTTGTTTGGTCCTTATATTACAAAATCACAAGAAAATCCAATCCTCTGAAGCATAGCCAAACCACACATTACATTACATTGACAGCCAATTTGAAACCGAACAAGAAAGGTGCTGGTCGGGAGGAAACAACACTGGTTAGACGAATTAGCAGCTACATTGACATTTAACCAAAGTGTAAGATGGTAGGTAACAAATCAATGTTATTAGAAAGATCTTCAAAGTCGTGGACACATTCCTCCTTCAATTCAAGGCTGTTACCTGTTTGGTCAATAAAAGGTGGAACAATACAATCAAATACAAGAAAGAACAACCTAGTCAAAGTTAAGATTATCCAGTTCTGGTTTGGCTGTCCGTGTGCTATGCTTCTTATCCTTCAACTACACAAAGACTCTCAAATCAAACTCTCAACGACCAAATATTCCTTCGCAACACGTTATTGCCTTTTCAATACATCTTTTGGTAAAACTGCTTCTTTTTCAAGACTAGCTTGCACGAGAAATCATTCATCAGTCATTCATCAGTAAAAAGTGGATATGTTGATAGATTTTCCCTTAGAACAAATAACTATGAAATAAATACCCCCTTTCATCGAAACTCTACCTTAGATACAGCAGCAAAAAGCTGTTGTTTCATGATCATCATTAAGCTGTCTTATAATCATTATTTCTTCCAGAGAACGATCGAATAACGACAAAAATACTTACCAAGAATAGGCTGATTTTTAAGTTTAAAGCTCTCGTCCTTTTGAGTGTATTTCGTCGTAGAAAACCCGTAACTGACGAAAAACTGACTTTTGCTTGTCACACGAATAGAGTAATTTCCGGTGCTCTTGACGACTACGTTCCACAGCCCTTCTTGGGGATTTTCAATTTTCGAGACAACCATGCTCGAAGTCTTTATTACCTTCTCGACATTGCTTGCTTTTGCATTTTTTGGAGGTTTGATTTTAACTTGGACATGCTTCTTGCCAATAGTTGAAATAACAATATTTTTCAAATGACGATCAACAAGGAAATTGAATGTTCTTACACCAGATTCCTTTGAATTAAGCGCCAAAAGCTGGACTTTATCAACGTGAATTACAGTTTCCACAAACCTCAGTGCAAGATCGACATCTTTCCTGCTTAAATGGAGTACCTGACCAAGTGATTGGCGGGCGATGCGCTCGTACACTTGGTACCCAACGTGACTTGGAGCAGCACATAATTCTCCGAGAACAAAGACAACCTGGCTCTTCTTTTCGGCAAGCTTTTCGAGTACTTTGGACACCAAATAATAGTCTTTGGCCGGGCCATTTGTAAATATGAAGACGTATGAGCGCGGTTGGGCAGTTGAAAGAGCCTTCAGTACATTTTTTAGTGTTCTTGATTCGCATTCTCTGTTCTTGCTTTTGCTAAGGCTCTTTAGGAACACTTCAAACTCTTCGGGGTTAGAAGTGGCAAGATCTGACGCAGAATCTGAAAGAGAAAGGAGTGGTTAGAAAGAGCTGCTTTCTAGACAATTATTTAGAACTAGGCAGAACATAAACTTGTACTTTTTTTGCAAAAAGAAATGATAATTGATCGATTGAAAAAGTTTAAGTTGCTCTTATGCAGGGCGGTAAATTGTATCCTAACATTGCAATAAGAACCGTAACATTGTATTTTGTAACAACTTTCATTATCACAGACATTGATAACAACACGGCCAAAATTTTGCTACTATGAAAAGGCTCGACGGAGTTTCCAGAGGCAAATCAAGATAAAACATACGTGTATCAGCCTGACATATTTCTTTTGGGGTAGAGAACAGACCTTGAAAACAGACCATGAAAATAGACTTTGAAAAACGACAAAACTTGTAAAAAGACCTTGAAAACAGACCAGAACGACCTTGAAAGGAGATCTTGAAAACAGACCTTGAAAACAGACCAGAACTTGGAAACAGACCTTGAAAATAGACCAGAACTTGGAAACAGACCTTGAAAACAGACCAGAACGACCTTAAAAGGAGAGCTTGAAAACGGACTTTGAAAACAGATTTTGAAAACAGACTTTAAAAACAGACCTTGAAAACAGACCAGAACTTGAAAACAGACCTTGAAAATAGTCTGCAAAAAAAGCTTTAAAGATAACAAATCTAGATCCCATAAACGCAAGGCTCCATATTTTCTTAGATCCGTGACCAGTCTTGCTTCCTGGCGGTTTCCAGCCATACCTACTTAATTTAATACCGCAAATCTATCGAATCCTTTCACTATTCCTTAATCCAAAAACGTAATCGATTGTTCTCATAATCTTCTAAATTCTAGTGTGAATTTGAAGCATCAATACAAAGAGCTCTTTCGCTAAATGATTTATCTCCTTCTGTCGCTTCTCGTGGCTCAAATGGACCCTTTTCCATTTACGCATTACAACAAATACAAAAATCGTTTCTAGATAATTCCTTCTTGTTTGAATCAAGCCCGGGTTGAACTAAACTTGCTTATTTAAATGCATTTTATGATATATATATATAAATGGTACAAAGCTTTTTGAGTTTCAAAACAAAGAAAACAGATACTGTGACGCATCATTTTCAACATTCACTATTTTGAAGCCATTTTGTCCCGATAGCTCATCTAATCCCGAAGGGTATTTACGAGGCCAAAACAACTTTTATTTGTCCAGCTACGAAAACAGAAGAATAAGATTCTGTTACAGGTCCTGAAAGGGCAATTCATTTATCATCTCGTGAGCTTTATCGATCAACTATTTTAAGGATGATAAATCAGGCTGTGGAGCCGTTGTAAAAGCAAGTAAACAAGATGTTATTGGGAAAAACATTGGGAATTTTAGGTATTCAGACATCGCTAACCAAATCAAATGAGTCACCTCGATCAATTATAACGTGTTTGCAAAATGTTAAGATTCTTTTTGGATAAAATTTAAAGCGAAAAAAGTTTGCAGCAAAATAAGAAAGAAAAACAGCGACAAAGAGTAGAGTTTCATTTTGAGGAAAGTTTCGTAAACTATTTATTGATGACCACCCATAGTGTTATACATTGCCAGAAACTTCAGAGCTCATGCCTTGAACTACAAAGTGGATACCCTGGGTACAAGACTCAATAGAGTAAGCCTGGTACTCAGGGTACAAAGTGGAGTGGCGAAGTGTAAATATGCCTTACTCAAAACCTAAAGGAGAAAGACCCCTGTCTCCATTTAGCACACACCCCTGAAATCCAGTATGGCCAGGCCCTTTAAAACCTTTCTCTCTTTTTAAATCCTTGTTTACCTTTCATACTTGGTAACTTTTGACCATCAATATTTGAGCTATTACCTCTGAGAAAGGCAATTATAACTTTTAAACATTTTTCTTGTTACTTCCAAACGACCACCAATATTGACTTGGATATGTGTCAATTATCACCAATTTGTTTTGCAAATTATGAAAGCTAAAATATTTTAAGCAGATATATGTTATACATGCAATGTCGTGGGTCATCAAATTTTCTGTAACAAGATTTTGCTTAATGTTAGCAACATATGATTGTCTTTGCTAAGCCAATGAGATTTGGACCAACTGGGGAGAATAAATTATCCTAGAAGAGCTTGATACTTTGTCAGAAGTAAACAGGTAACACATCCACTTAGATCTTTGGCTGCCACACATCAACAAAATAACAAAAACTTGCATCCAGGAGATATTGGTTATAGAAATCTAGCAAAAACATTTCTATGTACTTTCAGCTACCAAATAAAATTTGCTTGAGAACCTTTATGCTTCAAAAAACAACTGAGGCATATGCAACATTTTCATACTAATATTTTAAAGATGCTTCCTGTTAGACAAAATAGTCTGATCTAAGACAATTGAACTGGGTATCTTCCTTAAAAAGACAATAAAAAATCTTCTCTACTGTTAATGGTAATTGAACTGAATATCTTCCTTGATAAGACAATACAAAATATTATGTAATATTATTGGATGCAAGTTATCATTCATTTTGAGAATGATTGTTACAATCATTAGAGAGGATAACCTCCAATTTTCTAAAACATGAGATTGCTTTATGTCACATCTTAAAGCCACAGAATGTCTTATGCAATGTAAACAGTAACAAGCTAATTTCTGTTGCAAAGTATGCATATTGTACTTATTTGAACTTTTTGCCCCTTAGTGCCTACCCTCCAAAAATTTCTTTGATATCAAGTGTTTCTTTAAAACAGAATATCTGTCTTGAATCCACCTTGCAAGGTTGAACATATTTTTGGCTTCCAAGGTCCCTCAAACCAGGTCAAGATTGATAAATCTTATTAACTCAAGTTGATTAACTTAGACGCCAAAGATTTAACCGTATATCTCACTGCTTACTCCTGATTAGGCAAGAAACCAAGGAAAAATCACACTGGGTTCATATTTCAGCTGCCACAACCTTATTCGATGAAAAGAGTTAAGTTTTTCCACAAAAAGGTGGTAGGTAATAAGCATTAACTAAAGCCTTTCCAAAAATAAAACAAATTATCATAATCTTTTGATAAAGCTTTCAAGATGCAATTTATAAGAAGATTTAAAAACAACAACAGTCATTCTTCGTTGCCTTCATAATACAACAGAAATTTCCTAACTCTGTCCCACAACTCATCCTTCCTCCCCAGATCTTGAAACGCACTTATTTCTTATTCCTACTTTTCAGACCCTTTTTACATTTCAAAACTAAAAATTAACAAGCTTGATCTTTCCTTCCTCCCTTCCTAAACACTCCCTCTTTCCCTTGTTAGGGCTCCGTTATGGGCTTTTGGGCAACACTAGCATAACCAACTAAAAAATAAGTCAAAGCATGGCTGTACCGAAAGTGGCGTCGCCAGTTCGAAAAACCTGGTTTGACACAAGGATATTTTCTTGACCACACCTTTCAGACTCACGGAAAACGTTGGAAAAGCCTTTTTAATAATTTTTTATCCTTTTCGAAATTTTTGGAAAAGCAACTTTTTCAAGCAACATTTTTCGCAAATGGGGCTTTTTTGAAAGAGCAAAAATCGAAATCGATCTGATCAGCAGGACAGGTCCACCCCAGTCCAACCCGTGGCGACGCCACTGTCTACCACAAGCAACAGTATTGAGTTCTTGAAACAGTGTCATTATTTTTTCAAAAGAGGGAAATAAACATAATATTCTATAAAAGTTTTCTTAACAATCATTTCAACAAATGGCGTTATTTGGCTGTTTTGAATGGCTTCTACAATCTTCTGATGATCGCATTTTGGGTGAAGCTCTTACTTCCTACTTCGAAAAAGTTTTTTAACTGAAAGATGCCACAAGGGTCTCACTCCACCTACAACTGACTGGCCAGATCACAGGATAGAGATCCCGATAATTATAGAAATTCTCCAAAATACTGTAGATGCATCGTTTTCAAATTGAGATTACAATTTGGGACATGAAAGGAAATTACAGTAGTCCTCAATTTGACATGATACGGCGATGTTTCACAAATACCCAAAAGGACAAATTGCCCGACAGCTTCTTAGAGTTGTTTCCGTGCTATCGCCAGCTTTGAAGTTTTTCCTCGTGGTATTTGATAGCAATTAGAAATTGTAATTAACTGATGTTTAAAAAAGAATTTTGAGGTTCATAAGATAGCGCTCGAAGTGATTTGTGCGACAGATTTATCGTGGCATGTAAAATTTCAAAGTACTTTGTATTGAATCAAGTAACCTCATCTCGCACGAAATTAGAAAGTAATTGAGAACAAACAGCCCTCTTTGACCAAGCAATTCATAAAGAATTAACCACCACTTTATTCTCCGGATAAATGCTTTTCACATTCATAATTCTCAGGACAAACGGAAGACATTCTACTCTTTTATACGTATGATGCAATGCAATATGATAGAAAACCACAAATTTGCAACAACTGTACATCCTCTTTGCACCTCTCCTGTGTTGATTTACCACCCCCTTTGCAACTTAGAAAATCTAACTGAAATGCTCTCCTTAGAAGGTTTAGGAAACGTTCAAACAGTTAAGGACTTTATTTTATCTGAGCACAAATGCAACATTAATTAGAAATTAGAAATCAAAAATCAAATTAGATCTAACGATCTAAATTAGAAATTTAAGATGATAATATCTACTGATTTTTTGGGATTCTCTTAGGGTCGAATCATTTCTCTGTAGTGTGTGGCACTTTAAGGTACCGATGTCAACATTCTGCCCAGCTGCTGGCAAAGTACGAGCCAGCGGCAATCTGCCGATGGAAAGATAGAAATCACGATACCAGAAGGATGTCTCATAGCATGTCTACCAAATATAAAACTGATGCCTTGAGATTTTTGGTTGTTTAAATGCTTTCCCGTCTACCTGACAAAATAATAAGACTAGATTTACTAAAAATCCACGAAGTGCTCGACAATTGGGGAAGCCGAGCTAGGTTGGCTGCTAAAAAGGGGGGCTAACTAGTATCAAAACACAACCTTATAAATTCTCTCTTCCAGAA